TCTTAGGCCAGTCCATTTAGTTGTAATGGGCAATAATTTTGTTGGTTGTTTTGGGAAACAGTTTTTATGGTCATGAATAACCAGATTCACGTAAGTCTTTCTGTGAACTACAAGTGTTTTTTATTTTTTAAAGCCTAATTGTAAATGTCTTCAATAAAGTGCTTCCATAACTTCTGCTTAATTACTTTTAGTTTCTCTTTTAAGAGTAGTATACAACTGTAGGTAAGAATTGATGTGTGAAGTTATTTTTCCTATTTTGTATTAGTTTCAGAACAACACTAGAAGAAACCAAGTATCATGCAACATATTAGTTTCCAAGTCAATAAAATACTGCCTCTTACAAAGTTTCATAATATAAAATACTGGACTCAGGACTTGATTACAGTAATACCAACTGAGTAACAGCCACAGTTCAGTGATGTTAACTGAACCTATTCCAAACTAATCTAGGTTATCTGGAGGCACTGTGACAGAGAAGCACATTTAACTTATACCCAAAGACCAGTAAAACTATCATAAAAATAAGGAAAATATTTTTAATGAAATGAATCATAAAATTTTAGAGAATGTTAAAATGGAAACTGAAAAACTACTGATTTCACACATTTAAACTTGGGGAAAAAGAAAATCCCAGTTAGACTACTCAGTAACAAATAACAAGTCTCAAGGCTCCCTAAATGTCCAAATGTAGTAAATTGTATGTGCACTGTATCCTAAAGTTTTTATTAGCCTCATTCATTTAACTGGCCTTTTACTTTAAATTGTTGGATTTTCCATATATTTTGGTAATTTTTGTTTTTTAAATTGGGCTTTAGATTTGGGGTCAACAAACGTTTTTCATAGAGGGTCAGACAGTAAATATTTTAGGCTTTTCAGGCTAAATACTGTCTCTGTTGCATATCCACATTTGTTTTTTTGTAGTCTTTAAAAACCCCTTAACAAATGTAAAAATTCTTAGCTCAATCCCTATAAAAACAGACTACAGCCAGATTTGCCCTTGGCCATAGTTTCCCCACCCCTGCTTTATACTATATATGTTATCTTTTTGTTACAATGTCAATTCCACTGATAGTAATTTTTCTTCCTTCAAATATTTGTTCAAATGTCACCTTCTCAGAACACATTCCTACCTGTCCCCACATATATATAACATCGTATATAATACACAGTATATCAACTAACATTTTTGTCATCTGATCTTTGTCTCTTTACCTCCATCCATGCCCACCACCAAAATGAGTTCTATGAGGCAGATAGGTTTTTTTCACTGATGCATCTCCTGTCCCTAGAACAGTGTCAGGCATATAATAGGTGCTTAATAAATAAATTTATCCTCACACTTAGAAAGCAAATACTATGGAGGAAATACATAGTATCCTAATAAAATAAATTAATAAGTGAAAAAGTACTTGAGGACAAGATTGACAAATACTTTTACTTTAAAATTGTTTCTAGTCATAAAACATTTTAAAGGGAAAAAAGATTCAAAATTAAACCATTTTCTTACTGTCTCACAATGTGAGGTTATCTCTCATACAATAATTCCCTGGAAGTTTACAATGACTTTAGCTTATTTAATAATATATTTCAATTGTCATTCCTAAACCCCTCCACAGACCTGTTCTGCCTCTTTGATCTCATCGGTAAGTATTCCCTGCCCATTCAACTCACTGATCCAGTCTGGCAACTTTAAAGTTTAGCAAAGTTACTTTGCCTCATCTATGGTTCCATTACTCAATATACCTTTTTATTAAACTTCCTAATATTGTAATCTTTCCTACTTTGTCTTTACTATTCAATATAAAGCAAAAAGCTGTTTCTATTGAATGCTATTATCAAAATACATTATTCTCTGTGATTAATGAGACTTAAAAGTTACTTTTATTATACATGGTTTTACAGTTTTTACCTATTTAAAAAAAGGACAAGATTTGCTTTACCATCACCCTGAGATATACTTGGCAAGGTGTTAAGGATATAACTTTGGGAATTTAGTAATTGCCACCACCATTCAGATTATGGCTACTATATTTCTAAACTTATATTAAAACATAAAAATCAACTAAAGAATAGCTTCTTCTACTGCTATCACTAATAAATTGATACTTGATAGCTATTAGTAAATGACAATACTAAATATATTAATAACAATGTAGGAGTTAAGTCACACTAGAGATCAAGCTAAGATATTCTAAAATCAAACTGCAACTGGTGATAAGAGGGAATGCTTACAGCAAAGGAAATGTGTTTTAAAAATCCTTTTATCCAACAAGTTATTCTTCACCTACTATTTTCTAAATGGCTACAATTCTGCCATTCTTATCAATCAAGCAAGAAAGTCCAACTTTAAAATCCAAGTCAGTTGTTAATGGTTAAGATGATTCTTCCGGCCAATTCTTTACAGACACAATTCTGTACTCCTAAAAATGCTAAGGATGTGATTTTGAAAAAACTAGCATAATAAAAACTGCTATAGAACTTTCTAAAAATTATTTTCAACTCTTTTTGTGTTCTAAATTATCATAAAATCAGATTAATTTCATTGGAACCTAATCAGGGCAAAACCTCCTTATAGAGCTAGCTTGTAATCAAGAACCAAATTGACTCTCTTTTTTGTTCTTAAAAAAGCTAGTTGACTCCCAAATTAAGGCACTTTATACCGTATGTCCCTGGAGAATAACATGGCCCAACACACCACATGTCCCACTTAATCTAGTTCAAAGGAGTAACATAACGTGAGAAACTGCACTGTGTAATTCTTTTATTTTCTGCATATTAGTGCTTTACCAACACTACAACCATTAAGAACACAATTCCAGGTACTTTACTTTTTAGTCTGGGGCAATCAGTCTACAGACTCATTTACTTATATTAGACAAGATTAACCTCATTCAAAGCTTACTGTAGTTTATAAATTCACATAAATACAGAAATTGATGCAATTAAACAAAAACTTCAGGATCTCATTTTTAAAATTCTTAGGTTATAACTGTTGTTGCAGGCTATTAATTACTTGCCCCATGATCAGCATTGTTAGGGTTCAATTTAACTACAAGTATCAGCCTTTTATATCCTTAAAAAAAGTAAGTGAAAATTACAATTTACCAAAAGGTTTAGGATTTTCCCAAATTTCAAATATTTGCTTCCCCCCTCCCCACCCCCTTCAGTTATTTGACATTTCAAGTAAACTAAAAATAACATCTCACCTGCAACATTCAACAGCAATCACTTGATATATAAAATTTTAACTACGCCCCGTTATTTTAAGACACACAAAAAATGGCTGCCTATCAATCTAACTCATAAGTTAGAAATACTACATTTAAGAATTAACACGAGGGTTTCAAGTTTCCTCCAGTTTAGGCATTTATACCTTTGTGCTTGTCTTGTTTCACGATGTTATTATAGCATTGATATTTGTATTACCCATGTATGTACCTTAATGTAATAATTTAAAACACTAAGAATTAATTTATGGTGGAGCTTGGGAATCTTAAAAGCAACTAAAATGTTCTTAGATGTGGCTCCCAGCTTCATTTCTAGAGGTACATCTACTAAAGTGAAACTGAGAATTTTATACTTTTGTTGTATTTTTAATTAAAAAACCCCTATGCATCATCTGGAGCCTGCAAGCATAGCACCTTTGCTCATCTGCTTTAAGTAAAATGTTTAAGAGTTTTACTTTGAATAATTACTTTTTTTATAGCTTTATGCTTCTCATACATCTTTGGTAAGAGCTCCATTATACAATATGGCCAAAGCATGAAGGACCAATACTGTCCAACTATATACCATGATATCCCGCTCAACTTTAGTTTTCATATACCCTCATAAAACCCACATCTTTTCCTGTATACTGTCTTTGCAGTCTACATTTCTCAAGTTCCCTAAGTTTAATTCCTTGAGGATCTCTAAAATTAATCCTTAAGGCTATACAAGAACCACATGCTGCTTCACAATTCTTTATCAGGCATTAACGTTTGGTTCAAAATATTTCACACTGGTCTCAATAATCTAGTTACTAGTCCTAACCAATTTAGCAAGTAATCTGATTAGGACCTGGATATCACCAAGTGAGCACACTGCTGACCCTTGAAAAAAAATAAGCTTACATTCATTGTCATCTGTAGGTTCCTTCTCTTCATCCTACTTCCCCTTTGTCATCCCTCAAGTTTACACGTCATTCATTCATCACGTTTCCTTCCCTAAAGGAGATACTGTATTACTGAACCAACAGAATATCTGACTTACTATTTGCATGAGTCAATCCTACAATCAGACAGAATTAAATACCTTTTCTACAAAACATCTTTTCCAGTGTTATTAATGGAGGTGTGGATCACTCATCTATAAAAACGCTTTTATCTTTAATCAGTTGCTGTAATGTGATGTGAAAACAGGAATGTATACTTTCCAACCAGGTAAAAGGTGCATACAATTTGAATTGTTAAATGCTTTACTAATGAACAAAGTAAACATTCTAGTAATTTAAAAACTATTGGTCTGAAGATATTTGAAACATGGTAAAAGTATATATTCCAGTTTTGCCCAAAAGTCCCTTAAAATATCTACAAATATTTCGACTGTGTGTAGATACACCATTATTGCTCTGTTTTCTGGAAAGAGTCTTTTTAAAGTTAAAAAAGGGAAAACACAGCAAAGACGCTAACTTTGCAGTGAAAAAAATCTGTGTTCTCAATGAGTTACAATTTCATATTTTTATGCAGTGTAAGTTAGTTATGTAATGGGGAATTTGAGTTTTATCCCTACTCATGCATGATGTTTCAAAACTTAACAGCTGGCATTTCAAATAACTTCTTATATTACCTTTTTAACATACTGATGTGCAACTGGAACATTTTCCCATATTACTCATTCTTTGCCACTGTGGTCTAAGTTTTACTATACTGGTCTTCGGTATAAAAGGTCACATTTGAAATTACTAAGTTAGAACTCATAAGGGTGGGGGGAAGGCCTTAAATATAAAAGACAAACGGCAGTTTGATTAAGCAATAATTTTCAGTTTACTAGATGAAACAGACTTGCAACATAGTCTGCATTAATGCAAAATAAGCCATCTACAGCAAATGGTAAGGAAACTGGGCAAAAAGGGGGGGAAAAAAAGCATACAATGGAAAAAAAAATCTCTCAAAATAAAAAAATCATACCATTATTATAAAGGACTTGTACCAAGAACTGCTATATTTTCCCCATCCCATTTGCTGGAAGTTAACAAGAGCCTCTAGCACTTTGTGTTCATGTCAAATGTCAGATCAGAGCATCCTAAACGCAAAGCAAAAAAAAAAAAAGAAAAGGAACAAAAAGGAAACTCCCTAACCGCCCCCCCGCCCCGAACCCCCAACTGTAGAACAGTAACTCGAGTTCAAATTCAAGAGAAAGTGGCAATTGGAAGAGGTGATGGTGGCGATAATCCTATGAATGGGTGTCTGATTTCTCTCCTTCCGGGGGGATGGGTGGAGAAGGCTCATTAGGATTTGTAGTTAGAGGTTAACCATGTGAGCCCCTCGTAGAGTCCGTCCCCCGAGGTGGCACAGGAGGGCTGCACATACCAGTTCCTGTCCCGAATCCGGGTCAGGCCCAGTTTCTCCTGGATCTCGTGGGGCTTCATGGCATCGGGCAGGTCCTGCTTGTTGGCGAAGATGAGGATGATGGCGTCCCTCATCTCCCGGTCATTGATGATGCGGTGCAGCTCCTGGCGGGCCTCGTCGATGCGGTCGCGGTCGGCACAGTCCACCACGAAGATCAGGCCCTGGGTCCCGGTGTAGTAATGCCGCCAGAGCGGCCGGATCTTGTCCTGGCCGCCCACATCCCACACGTTGAACTTGACGTTTTTGTAAGTCACCGTCTCCACGTTGAACCCCACGGTGGGGATGGTGGTCACCGACTGGCCCAGCTTCAACTTGTACAGGATTGTCGTCTTGCCGGCCGCGTCCAGGCCCAGCATGAGGATCCGCATTTCCTTGTTCCCGAAGATCTTGGATAGCACCTTCCCCATCGCGTCGGAGGAGCCGGGGCCGGGGGCATTCAGGTGTCCCGGGTCCCCTCAGCCGACAACGCCGCCGCCGCCGCGACACCAAGACCGAGCCTCCAGCCGCGAGGGCGCCCGTGGGGCCTACGTGGGAGTTGCCTCCTGGGGGCAGAGGCCGGGCCCGCCGCTCACTCGGGCATCACCGGCCGCACAACTTGATCCCTCCAGTCGCCGCAGCCGCCGGGGCCCTGAGTCTGCGACGGGAGAGCCGCCGCCCTGCTGAGGCGCGGCCCGGCCCGGAACTGCCCTTCCCCCCGCGGGCGCCGCGCGAGCGCCGCCGGTTCCCGCTCCGCCGCCGCCGCCGCCTCCCGACGCCGCGGGAGACTACGACCCTCCGGCCCGCGAGCACCGGCTCCCCACCGACCCAGGCCACCGAGAGGCAGCGAGGCTCCGGCGGCTCGTCAGGGTCATGGATCCTCGCGGGAACTCGGTGCGCCGCCTGCAGAGACACAGAAAGCGAGAGGGAGTTACTGCCGGGGTCCCGGCGGGGCGCGGGGGCCGAGGCGGCCCGCCTTTCCAGCGCGGCCCGGGGGATTACCTCCAGCCGCCGCCCCGAGCGCGCGCTCCCTCCGGCCGCCACCTCCTCCTCCCCGCTCTGCCGCCGCCGCCGCCGGAAAAGGCGCCGAAGAAACCGCCTCACTTCCCCTCCCGACCGCGCACGCGCACGCGCAGCACGGGCCGACCGTTCGGACCAGAGCGACCTCTGGAAGGAAAGCGCCCGCGCGCCCAGCGTCAGGGGCGTCAGGGGCGCCACGCGCTGAGGGGCGGGGCTACGGCGGCCCGGAGGGCTCGCAGGGGCGGCTGTCCCCGGGACCCGCGCAGCCCGGACTCCGACCGCTGCCCACCTGTCGCTGCTCCAGCGTCTCCTCCCGTCTCTGCCTTCCTCTTCCCCGACACCCCCACTCGAACTAGAGGAGCAAAACCCCGGGGGGCCGCACAGGGCGGGCGCGTGGTTGCCCGCTCCCTGGACGAACGCCTCTGCGGGCTGCTTCCGGGTCTTTTCTCAGACCTCGTGGCCCGCCCGATGCTCCCGGTGTTCCCTCCACGCCGCCCCTGCGTCCGCGCTCCCGGTGCATGAGGGACAGCCCTGTCTGCTGCTTTTACCTCCCCCGGCCGCCTTCACTCCCCGTGCTCGGCGCTTCCTGCGGGACACGTGGGGGACCACCGCTTCCTGTGGGATTTGCCAGCCGGCGAGTGCAGTGTTTCTCCCAGCTCGGCTCTGCTCTGAAGCCCGGCCTTTAAGTGTTTGAGCCCCGTCTTTGTACATCTCGCCCGTTTCCTAAAAGTTACGGTATTATCAAGAGTTCTGTGCCATGTCGCATTTTCAGCTTTTTAGACTGTGGTAACTGTTCGTGTTTGAATAGATCCGTTTAGTGTTGTTAGTAGTGGCTTCTCGCCCACCACCCGTTAGGCACTTTAAGAGGCAAAGATGATATAATCCTAGCATAGGATTTAGAATCAGAAAAACGAACGACTCCTGTGGCCTGGATCAGGCGTTGAACCTTTTTTAAGTTTGCCTCGTGTTGTAACGGTGTCATACTGGCCTTGCTCGCTGCACTCCATCTGAGGCTTAAATAGTATTAGGGAACCTCGTATTAGGGAAAACTTTAGGGAACCTTTGTGTACCAAAATGGTTAAGTGATAAAGTTAGGCTTAAAGGTAAAATGAGGTGAAACTTGAAATAAATGAACCAAGGGAAAGAGAAACAGGAAATTTTTTTCTTTTTTTAAGGAAGCTGGTAAACAGCATACGGTACATCCTTTGCACTTCATATTTAAGAAAATGTAATGATGGCAGATAGGTTAAATGATAACCATAAGCTGCATGCATGAGAGGAAAGTAACTAGAGTTATTAATATTCGGACAATGATCTGATTTACTTTCCATCTGCCTTAATATGCACTTTACCCAAAGAGCCCGGTGGGACAGCTAGCATTAATAGGGGCCCTTTACATTAAGGAAACGGCTTCCCGAGAGATCTCAAGGCCTCACAGCCATGAAAAGGAGGAGCCAGGATTCAGACAGCCTGATTCAGAGCCTTGTGCCCAAGCCACAAAACTAGACTTCCTTGGGGGAAATGCGCCTGGCCAGGAGCCTCACTTTCCTGCCTTCTGTACGTGGACAGCCCTCGTAGCCGCCCGTCCTCCCTGGTGAATTTGCTCTCAGCCGAGGCAGAACAGGAAGAAGAAAGCCTGCCTTTCTCCTGTGTGCCAACATCCAGAAGGGTCAAATGGAGGCTGCTGGAAGTGTGAGCTGGCCTTTCCTGGGGAAGGACAGGTTACCCATGTCTCTGTCGCCCCCTCCTGCCCCGAAGGAGAACTTCACATGCCCACAGCCCCGGGCAGCCTCCGAAGCCCAGTGCAGGCTGGAAAAGGGAGTCAGTAGCTTCCTAAGGCATCCACGAAGGACTGGGAAATGGTTGGTTTTTTAAGCTTGCTGTTAACTTTTTGTAAAATGCAATTAAAATGAATTAGTAAAAAAAAAGAAAAAATGCTGGCCCTGACCGGTTTGGCTCAGTGGATAGAGCGTCGGCCTAGGGACTGAAGGGTCCCAGGTTCGATTCCGGTCAAGGGCATGTACCTTAGTTGCGGGCATATCCCCGATGGGGGGTGTGCAGGAGGCAGCTGATCGATGTTTCTCTCTCATCGATGTTTCTAACTCTCTATCCCTCTCCCTTCCTCTCTGTAAGAAAATCAATAAAATATATATTAAAAAAAATGCTGGCCCAGCCAGGTGTGGCTCAGCGGTTGAGAGTTGACCCAGGAACCAAGAGGTCACCGGTTCAATTCCTGGTCAGGGCATATCCCTGGTTTCGGGCTTGATCCCCAGTAGGGGGTGTGCAGGAGGCAGCGAATCAATGATTCTCTCTCTCATCGATGTTTCTCTCTCTCTCTCCCTCTCCCTTCCTCTCTGAAATCAATAAAAATACATTTTAAAAAAAAATGCTGCTTGAATGATGTGACAATGTCAAATTGATATAAAAGTTTCTAAATACTCTCAAGTTCTCAGTAAGAACTTCCTGTACTTGTCTTCATATGGGCAAGTAACAACAGTTTATGAACCAGCACAGGTCCAGGGACCACACTTGGAATAGAACTGGTCAAAGAACCGCTGCCGGCCTGAGGTCACTCCCTAGGGCAAGGATTCCTGTGCCATTCTGAGCTTTTCGTCCTGCTGCTGACTCTGAACCTGCAGCTGGAGTAGAGGTGTAACTTAAGCCTGAGAGAGACCCAGAGATAGTGCCTAGAAGCCAGGCCTCCAGCTCTGCCCTCCCTGTCTCTGAGACCCAGCAGGAAGGCTTATGTTGTCCAAGCCAAGGAGGCCTCTAGAAAGACAGCTCCTTCCCCTGACAAGCTGGGAGTTGGGAGGTGGTAACCTGATGTGGGGGCAAGGATGGTGGATGTCCTGGGTTTGATTCTAAAATTGTACAGCCACATTAACCTTGCCACTCTGAGCTTCCTCTTCCACAAATGTAAAAAAGAAGAGGGTTGCCCAGCCAGTGTAGCTTAATGGTTGAGCATCAAACATGAACCAGGAGGTCATGGGTTCGATTCCTGGTCAGGGCACATGCCTGGATCACGGGCTTGATCCCCATTGTGGGGCCTGCAGGAGGCAGCCAATCAATGATTCTCTCTCATCATTGAAGTTTCTATCTCTCTCCCTTTCCCTTACCTGAAATCAATTATATATATTTTCAAGTGCACTTTTGAGTTCCTTGTAAGTCTAACATGCTGTGTTTGTCCTAGAAGATCTAGGCTGCCTGCCCTCAAGGAGTGGCAGCAAGACTAAAGGACCGCCAATTGGACAAACCAGATTAAGCTCAATGGAAATGGACATTAATTGTGCCTTGCAGGCTGCCCTCAGGGACAGGAAGACCCAGCACTGGAGAGACCAGAAAAGGGGGAAGAAGCAAATACATCATTTATTTGGGTCAATTTAATTACTAAGATCAGGCATCAAGCCTGACACTGTTTCTCAGCAGTTGAGGCAGAGAAACAAGCACCACAAGCCACAGAGCACTTTTTGTAAAGGAGGCATGGTTACCAATCCCCAGAGGATACAGACTTTCTCCTGGACCTAAATCTTAAAATAATTTTCCACACGTGACCCTATTTGTGGGACAGTAAGGACACAGCAGCCTCCACAAGTTTTATGGCAAAAGCAGAAGTGGTTTTATGTGGCCGTTTCTTCCAAAAATCTTGGAGGAAAGCCAAGAGTACACCAGCTAGTATTGCAGCTCAGCAACGGTATTTAGTTTTTAGGCAAGAAGTGAACTTGCGTATATTAAAAGGAAAAGTCAAACATGCTAAGTAAATTATACAGGCGGCAAGACCATAATAAAGTGCACTTGGTTCCCTCTTAGCTGGGTCACTGGTGAATATACAAATATGCCTTTCCTTTTCAAGGTATGGACTGGCTCTCTCACCCTGGGGCCAACAGCTGACATCTTTGCCTGCCTGACTCCCACACCCTGGCCTAGGGGCACTCTGGTATGAAAAGGCCAATTTAGCCATTCCTACCATTAGCCACTGTAGGGCAGCATTGAGCCAGTAACTGAAAAGCAAACTTTCAAAAATTCCTTTTGTAAGCAAAGCCGTTCAGCTTGTATGCAGTTCTACCAATCTAATTATATAAATCTTGAAAATCCAATATTGAGCTGTTTTCACAATGAAAACAGCGGCTCCAATAGTAGGAATTATTTCTGAGATTCTTTTTTTTAAATCAGATTCTCTTTTTAACATTTTAAATGTCAATACATCCTATGAGAGATATCAAAGAAATGCTAACATTTTCTGAACACAAATTGTGCTGTTTTACAGTACCATTTGATTTACTCTTACAAGAATTCTGTGATGTACCATTATCCCCACGAAGCATACGAAGAAACAGGCAACTAGCCTACTCGAGTGCCTCCTCTAAGGTCACTAAACCAGCCTTGAAAAGCTATTACTAGCGGGACTGATGCTAATGGGCATGCGCAAAAGGCCCCAAGGCTCTAGGAGCGTCCCCAGTGGTCAACAGGCCTCAGTGCAATTGGGTTCAACTACATTCGGCTTCTAGCCCCGCCTCTCGTCCGCCTCTTCCGCCCAGCGCGGACATTGATTGGCAAGCGGCGGGCTAGAAGAATTTGAACTGGAGCGCTACAGTCTCATGCACTTGCGTCAGTTAAGAAGCTTGGTTCTTGGTGAATGAAAGGCGGAGGAGAGCTGAAAACACTTCTACGGCCACCGGCCTGAGTCCCCGAGCTTCCCTGCCTCATCCTAGGCCAGCGGTTCTCAACCTGTGGGTCGCGAACCCTTTGGGGGTCGAACGACCCTTTCACAGGGGTCGCCTAAGACCATCGGAAAACACATATATGATTACATATTGTTTTTGTGATTAATCACTATGCTTTAATTATGTTCAATTTGTAGCAATGAAAATACATCCTGCATATCAGGTATTTACATTATGATTCATAACAGTAGCAAAATTACAGTTATGAAGTAGCAACGAAAATAATTTTATGGTTAGGGGTCACCACAACATGAGGAACTGTATTAAAGGGTCGCGGCATTAGGAAGGTTGAGAACCACTGTCCTAGGTGATGACGTGACCCGGGAATTGACAGGTCGCCGTGTCCGGAAGGAAGTTGATGGGCTCAGGGGTGCCACGCCTTGGTTTGACTGTCCCAACTGCTGAGAGAATCCTCCATCAGTGAGGCCTAGGCATCACCTGGGGAAATTCCCTGACGCCATAGCGTTTTGTCTGCGGAGCCGGGTCCTCCGGGTTTAGGATTAAACAATGTGTAAAAACCAGACCTGGTACCAGAGTCTCGGCCTTCCGTCCTCAGCTGGGTCCCCGAGAGCATTTACTGGGCCAGGGACTTGTGTTGCAGTCCTGGCTCTGCTAATCACTGCTGCTGAGCAAGTTCCTCTGCCTGTCTGGGCCCTATTTCCTCACGATTAAAGGAGAGGTGGGACTCGGATAAAGTATATATTGAACGCCAACAATGAGCCAGGCATGGTGGTAAGTATTGGAGATACAGATGAGCAAAACAGCCCTGATCCCCAAACTTACCGTGTGGAGAGGGAGAAAGATAATTAAAGGAACTATCACAAACACAGTTACACACCTACTTTTTAAAAATCCTTACCCGAGGACATGTTCGTTGATTTTTAGAGAGGAGAAGGGGGGGAGAGAGAGAGAGATAGATATTATTGGTTGCCTCCCATACATGCCCCAATCTGGGATCGCACCCGCAACCTAGGCATGTACCCTGACCTGAATCCAACCCGTGGCCGTTCTGTTTAAAGGATGACACTCGGACCAGCTGAGCCACACTGTAACTTATGCAGAAAGGAAATAACATCACGGGCCAGGGCTACACATCTACTTTTAAGAAGTGGTACAGGAAACTTACACAGACATTTAATAGAGCCCGATGTGGGCTTCTTAAAGCTGAAAGTAGAATATAACTGGGATAGGTAGTCAATGGCCCAGAGAGAGGGAGGACAGCAGTGCAAAGATCTGGAAAGTGAACGATAAACATTTCGTATTTTAATTGGACATCATAACAACCCTCAAAATATATAAGAAGGTTGGAAGCTTCAGTGAATTAATTTGAATAGAACTTGGGGAGATCTTTGGAAATCCATAACTATTTCAGTTCTGTGAACATATGTGGTGGCCCCTGACCCTGTGTCCTGACATGAGTGTTCCAAAAGATTGTTGAGTCTGATTTGAACAATCCAAGTTCCAAGATGCATGTTGGGTGGTAACTGTGATCTGACTTTGAGGGATGTCTCCTGGCTGTTTCAGAAGAGTTAAAAATATTAGTGCTCTCTTGAAGCAATCCATGTCCACCTCATGCGTAATTACCCAGGCTTGTTTGCAAAGATAAAGAGATGAGGGAGAAGTGGCTTGTAAAGTGACAGAAAATGAAATCAAGGGCTGGTCACTGTACATTACAAAAGTACTTTTGTAGAGGGGACACCATGACATGGCAGAAGTGAGACAACTAAGGTAGGAAGCGGGCCCTGCTTTGCCCTACATTAGCTGTGTGAACCTGGCACTCAAACTCTGAGCAAGTTTCTTGATACAGGCATACTGATTTTTATTGCACTTTACTTTATTACACTTCGCAGCTGTTGTATTTTTTACAAGTTGAAGGCAAAAAGAACAACAACAAAAACTGAAGGCAAGGCACCACCAGCAAAAATATTTTGAATCACTTTATTGTGGTGGACTGGACCACTGAGACATACCTGTTTATAAACAGCACTAATTATGTGTTACTGACATGGTGAAGTTCAGAATGGGAAAACATGTGAAAGTTATTTCTAAACTATAAAGTGCTACCCAGCCAAATCACTAATCACCTGGCTCACACTGTTCCTTCAGAATTTTACTGTACATGCTCCTTCAAATTATGGGGGAGCAAGGATTTGACATATTTTATTTGAATTTGTAACAATATGCCAAGTTGCTTTGTTGTATAATTATTTTGAATTCTTTCATTTTAATTAGTGTTTATCTGTTCCAAAAGGTAGTTTTAAAATTTCACATGTGGGTGCATTCTTCTTCTTGGGAGGACATCTGTGCCTTGCCCTTCCCCTTACCCCCCTCCCCCGGCACATTTCCTTTGCCTTTCTCTCTCCTGAATCCCAAGGGCTCTTCTTCTGCCCCTGCAACTTGTTTCTTGAGTTTACCCAGCCCAGCTGGCTCACTTCTACCTCTAACTTTCTAAATAAATATTTTCTTATAATTTGAAATAAAATTTTACATGTGGTTCTCTCCCTATCATTTTTTAACTGAGCAGCAGAAAAAGTCAAACTTCAGATTTTCTTTTTACTTATCCCACTGTGCAAGTTATTCAGTGACAATTAGGATTTTTAAAAAGTTGTTCATAGATGGTTTGTCAGGGAGCCTTCTGCAGTCTTTTCCTAAAATTCTCCAGAACATGGGAGGGATGAGAGCCTTTGCACCTAATCCTGGCTTCCTGCTGATACAGGACTATTAAAGGGGTGAGTCAGCTAGCTAGCCAGCCATGTTTTTAGGATAATTTTAAGAACAATGAAACTGTTTAAACAGTAGCAAGTATGCTTGGTAAAGAATCTGAAGTGGGAAACCAGTCATGTAACCAAAGCTGATTGTGAAGGTTGGCAGGGATGATTTTGAGGAACATAAGACTTAGGCCTGCTGCACCCGGGGTTCTGGTTAACGTACGCAGAAAGGAAATATCACATGCCAGCGCTGATGGGCATGTTCACTTACTCTGCTCATTCCCAAATATGAAGGAGATATTTTGTTAATCCTCACATTTTTCCCATTGATTTTGAGTGGAAGGGAGAAGGGGAGACAGAAACACTGATGTGAGATAAATCCACTGGGGCCTGGGATCAAGCCTGCAACCAAGGTACTGCCCTTATCCAAAATCGAACCCAGGACTCTTCAGTTTGAGCCAAAACAGCTAGGGAAAAGATCTTAAGTTTTCAGAGGTTTACATCATTGTCCAGAGAACTAAAAGATGGGTGGAACTGGACGGTTTTATTCGATATGAAAACGTTAGCACTTGCACATATGTGGGTCTTCTGATTATCATTCTTTCCAAAGGTTTTCGCTCTATTAGATTTTTACTATATTGAAAGATGTTTTAAAAAGCCAGCCACCCCTAGGCCATATTAACATGAGTCTTGCTGTAGTGATCATTTGCAATTGTGTTTAGTTTGGATAACTATCTATTTTTAATGTCCCAATTAAAAATATTTCAAGAGAAGTAAACACCAATTTGTTATTCCACTTATTTATGCATTCATTGGTTGGTTCTTGTATGTGGCAGAATTGAACCTGCAACCTAGCACATCGGGATGCTCTAACCAACTGAACTACCCAGCCAGGGCAATTTTCAGTTGCTCTACATGCTGTGCTTTCCTTTATGACCTACTTACCTGACATGGGGTCTCCCCATGGGACTGCTGTGCAGAGTAACATTTGTATTAGCAGTGCTGACCCTTAGCTGGTGAAAGTTACTAAGTGGCACTTAGCATGTGGTGTGGATCAGTCATCTTTGAGAAGCATTCCTCATTGCTTCACACGTGGATACTGCAAAATTTAACTCATTTTCCTCATTGTGCCTTCCCCTTTCTCAAACTCCCAAACATTTTCTGTGTACACCTAATGCATCTTATTTTGGAGAGTAGGACTAGCAAGTCCTGCTTTTCAACAACTTCTGAATCTCACTAATGGGGACAGACAGGGTAAGAACAGAATGTTCCAAGTGCCTCACACATCATAGGTGCTCTGAATATACGATGTCTTAAAAATCCAAGTCCTGTGGTGCCTTGGCATTTTTAAAAGTGAGCCTAGACCTGGCCTGTGTGGTTCGGTCATCCAGTGCACTGAACTCCCCATCAGGGCACATGTGGGAAGCAGCCAACCTATTCCCACTTTAGGTAATTGTTCAGTCTTACCCCTCACCCTGACAAGCTACATTTGTTAACTGCCAGGACTGTGCTTGGGAATTAGCAAAAAAACTTTCTAAATCTGAGGTCTGGACGCCCTCTCCTTGGACTCTTATTCATGTGCAGGGAACAAATCCTGTAAATCATAATCCTTACTCCCCACATGTAGTTCTCAATGCTGCAATATTAGATGCATTCTTTGTACAGTGTCTAGCTTGTGTCATAGCAGAAAAGGTTGAAAGCCAGCATTATAGAAGTGAGATCATCTTTATACAGGCACATCCCCACACAATCAGCAAGCCCAACAGCAACAGAGGTCAGCTTTTATTGGCCGTGTTACAAAAGAGCCAGTTTAGTCAAAAAGACCAAAGCCCATGTCATCATCAGACTCCTCAGATTCTTCTTTCTTTGCTTCCACTTTCTTCTCCTCAGCTTAAAAGGAGAAAAAAAAAAGGTAAATTACACACCTTTATTTTGAACTCCAAAGAGCTATAGGCCCTTCAACTTACATGCTCAAAATACCCCAGACTTCCCTCATCAAACTATGTTTCTTCTGGTTTTGGGATTGCTAGACATTATCTACTTTGTAAATTAAGGGCAATTTTGCCTCTAATTAGTTTCCTACCTGGAGCAGCAGCGGTGGAGGGGGCAGGACCTCCTGCTGGTGCAGCACTAGCTGCAGGGGCAGGTCCACCAGCCCCTACATTGCAGATGAGACTCCCAATGTTGACGTTGGCTAGAGCCTGCAACACAAGTGCATACAGAGGTTAAGTGCTCAGTTCTGTCCGTTATAACTCACCCAGGAAAAAAAGTACCGCCCCTTTGAACTTACAGTGACCTACCCCCACCACTATCTATAATAAAAGCATAATATGCTAATTAGACTGGGAAGTCCGGGTGGGGAGGTGCCGCAGCTGGGGGAAGGCTTACTCTTGCATGAATTTCATGCATCAGCTTCTAGCATAAAAATACATAAATTTCTCTTCCTTCTCCTTTGCTGGAGTCTGCCAGTGACAGCTTGTCTGCTATTCAGATTCCCTAAAACGTAACAACCCACACAGCTATACTAAAAATAAGCAATCACAAAAAATTTCAAGCTGTAAATCTCATAGCTGCATTGCTATGTTTTAAGTAGTAAGGTACAGCTAGCTGAATTCCTTTTATAGATGAGAAAATTGGCCCCAAAATGCTGGTTTAACTTGTTAATACTCAAGCTTCCTTAAGTCAGGGTTTTACCCAGTTCCACGTCTCCTCTTAACAGTGAATTTTATTTTTCAGACTGCTAAGTAATTCTGGGAAATTTATTGAAGATGATAGAGGTACAATGTTTTCAATCTTTCAAAGCTCTTTGCAGGACACAGGTGAATAGTTAGCATTCACAAGCTTCACTTGCTAGAGACTCAGTAACCTGTAGAATGGAAGGCAGCCAGTGCCAAATTCCTTGGGTAGGGGTCTTGTCTTTTATCTCCTAACACACAGTAAACGGACATTAAAAGGCCACACCCAATTTCCATTAAAGCATGCTATCATACTAGAAGGATTTGCTTGTAATAGCATGGGAGTTATCTTCTGGATGGCCCTTTTAAAGGAAAAACCTGGTTAATTCTTTTACCATGGTTTCTAAGCAGAAGAAAAGAGAAACCAATCTGAGATCAAGAAAGACACAATAGGAATAAGGAAATATCACTTAAGAGTTATTTATTTTTTGGATATTGGCATGAACACCTTCCTTAGTAATCAGTAGGTCTTCCCAAAGTTACCTCTCCAAATCAGGTTGCCGCCATCACCTTACCTTTGCAAACAAGCCTGGCCAGAAAGGCTCAACGTTCACACCGGCTGCTTTAATGAGGGCGTTGATCTTATCCTCCTGAAACAGATAAAATGACAACCCATCAGAGACCAAACCATAGCGTTCTGATGTCTCCAAAAAGTTGAAAAGAAATCATTCAAAACGTGTGTACCTAGCCACGTTTATCCAGTCTCACGATTTCACCTGCATCTTATGTTTAAGAGGACCCTTTCTTACACTCTTTTGGCCGTCACGGTAACAGAAATGCCATCTGGTCCCGTGTGGCGAGTTCATCGCTGCCATTGCACGGGCTGGGAATGCGCCCAAGTCTCGCTATTTTAAGTTACGAGTAAAGGCTGGGAGGTGGAGCAGAGCTCACGCGCTCTCCACACCATACAGGGCCTGCTAGGACAACCAAAAAAATTCAAAATGATGTATAACTGGCTGCGGATCAGGATGCCCACGCGCGGCCCATGTTTCTCCAAATACAAGTTCTCGCGGCCAGAGCGCGCAGTCGCACATGTAATCCAGCCCCGACCGCACCCGGCACGTGGCCGAGGCCCCAGGCCCACTCGCACGTGGGGCCACCTGACGGGCGCCGGCCCAAAGCCGCCCAGTGGGCGTCCAAGGCCCCGGCTATGGCCGGAAGGGCCGGACAGGAGGCCTGGGAAGGCGGGGAAGTCTGCCGCCCGCGGGCCGCCCCTGCCGTGGGCCCGGGCCCGCACTCACCGTCACCGTCACCTCATCGTCGTGCAGGATCAGGGCCGAGTAGATGCAGGCGAGCTCCGAGACCGAGGCCATGGCGAGGGCGAGTGCTGGGCGAGCGCTGCCGGGAGCGGTGCTAGTCGCCGGATGAAGTGAGGGCCTCACCCCAACGCGGCCTTAGCTCCCTCGGAAGAACCGAGCACCTTACCGGCAGCGGGGGAAAGGGGGCGGCGCGCCTGCGCGCGGGGACTTATGCAGGCCACGCGGACCAATCCGCGCCCGCGCCTGGCGGAAGAGGCGGGGCTGGGGCCGCCCGGGACGACCCACTGGAGGCGCCTGCGCAGAAGGCGTGACTCGAGTTCAAGAAGTGGCTAGGAACCTGTAAGTGCCGAGGAACTCCACTGGTTTGGCGCAGCTCAGGACTCGTGGACAGTAGTCATATTTTTAGGGAAAAGGTTACCTAGGTAAGTGGACGTTACCCTAAGCACTGTTGCTCCTGTGACACTGCTTAGAGAGCCATTTAATGACGTCCCAGCCCCCCCCTCCCACCCGCCCCGCACCACCATCAGCTGGAGGCAGCGCTACTTTACCGCGTTTAGCCCCAGGGTCTTAGCGCAGCGTCCAGGTGAGGCCAGTGAACGGAGGAGGAAATAGGAAGCTTGCAGGTTTACGGTAGCAGGTGGCGTTTGAGCGCCTGCTATGCCCCCAAACACTGAGCCACACGCCACAACAGTGGTTCTCAGCCTTGGCTGCACATGAGAATCACCTGGGGATCTTTTTAAAATCCTGATTTCCGGGCCTCATCCTCCGGAAATTCTGTTTCTTTGTGACTAATGTGGTGGTCCCACTCCGTAACAAAGACACAGAATTTCCGGAGGATGGGGCCCAGAAATCAGGATTTTAGAAAGATTCCCAGGTGATTCTAACGGGCAGCCAAGGTTGAGAACCACTGTGCTACAAGGTTTCATTTAATGTTCACACAGCCCAAGCGGTAAGTGCTGTTATCGCCATTAACTATGGACTAAGGCGTCGACCCCGTAACTCGTCTAAGGTGACAGCGTGCGGTGGAGCCTGGATCTGGAACCTGGAATCCCAATGTAAGCGCCTTCTTGTGAGTGCGGAGAAGCGGATTATGAGTAAACTTTGTCTTCCTTCAATTTTTATAACTAAGGCACCCGGTGATTGGGTGGAAATGCCTTGAAACCGCCTAAAGATCTTGCTGCAACTGCTGCCTGGTTCGGTGCTGCATTGCACTTTTTGTCCTTTGAAGCTAATAAAACCTCTTTTGGTTTATATTGAGGGTATTAAAACATTTCTTATGGTGGTACAATTGACATAACATTATATTCGTTTAATGCGTACAACATAATAATTCAACATTTGTATATATTGTGAAATGATCACAATAAATTCCGTTAACTTCATCACCACACATAGTTATTATTTTTTTCTTTCTTTTTAAAGAATCAATACAGTGCTCGCTTCCGCAGCACATATACTAAAATTGGAAACATACAGAGAAGATTAGCATGGCCCCTGCGCAAGGATGACACGCAAATTCATGAAGCTTTCCATGTTAAAAAAAAAAAAATCAATACAGAGGTCTTTTATTTTATTTACACCTATCATGCCATGGATTCATAGGGAATGGGTTCCAGCAGCTCGGGCTCCTTTCCATTGCTTCTCGCACCCGTGCTCCTCGGAGTGGAGCAGGCAGGTGCTTCTGTGGAACCCAGGAACCTTTCTGTGTGGCTTCCTTTTTTTTCTGATCATTTTCCTTCACCCGGTTCAGAAAGCTATCTCAGCTCTTAGAATGCTTAATATGCTCAATATGTACATTAATTTTCTTGGCAAGAACCTTGCCCTTACACGGACAACAATGTGGTGCTTGCTGGAGGTGGAGGGGGGTTGGAGGCGGGTATAGCAGGGATAAGTGGTGATGGACGAGACTTGACTTGGGTTGGTCAACACAAAATGCAGTGTACAGATGGTGTGTTGTAAAATTTTGTGCCTGAAACCTGTATACTTTTAACCAGTGTCACCCCAATAAATTAAATTTAAAAGGGGAAAAAAAAGAATCTTGCCTTTAACTTGTTCACAATAATGCCTACTGCATGCTGGGTGGCACTGTAGACTCTTCCAGTTTTGCCATGGCAGCGTTTGTGGGGATTTGCTTTTGGAAGAGTGCCTATTCCCTTGATGTCTACAATATCACCTTTCTTATAGATACGCATGTATGTGGCCAGAGGAACAGCTCCGTGTTCTCTAAAAGGCCTGGGGAACGTATAGCAGGTGCCTCTCCTCCTGCCCTTTGTGTTAGTCATTTTGGTGAATTACTGGAAGATCATGGTTCCCGCCCAAAAGAAGCAATTTCTTTTCTTGCTTTGGTGAGGACTTAAGGTCTATTCTTTGCAACTACTTTTAAGTATTGTCAGCTATAGCCGCCATGTACATTATATGCCCAGGATTTATTTATTTTTATACCTGGAAGTTTGTACCGTTTGACTCCTTCACCTATTTCACGACCCCTTCACCTATTTCACGACCCCTACCCCACACCCCTTTTCTACTCTGCATCCCCTTCCTATCTCCACCCTCACACCCCCAACTCCTGCAGCCCCACCAATTTGTTCTCTGTATTTATGAGCTTGTTTCTTTTTTATTTTTTTTGTTTCTTTTTCTTTTAGATTTCAGGTGTAAGTGAGATCTTATGCTATTTATAGTATTCCTCTTTCTTTGTCTGACTTATTTCACCCAGCATAATGCCTTCAGGGTCCATTCATGTTGTCTCCAATGGCAAGATTTTATTATTTTTTATGACTGAATAACATTTCATTGTATATAGAGCACTTATACATATAGTGATCCATACATTTATGGTGGACACTTAGGTTGTTTCCAGGCCTTGGCTGCTGTAAATAATGCTGCAATGAACATTTTTTTTCAAATTACTGTTCTTATTTTCTTCAGATAAATGTTTACAAGTGGAATTGCTGGATCATACTTAAAAACAATATCCTACATAATAAAAAGCTAATATGCAAATTGTCCCCTTGGGAGTTCAACCAAGAGTTCAACTGCTCTGACCACCAGGGGGCGGCGAGAAATGAAGGAAGGTTCCGGCCAGCAGCTGGCAGCCGGGGGAAGGAAAGCCCGATTGGCCCTGATCACCAGCCAGGCCTAGGGACCCTACCTGTCCACCGGGCCTCTAGTATATATATTGTTTTTAAGTTGGTTCCTAAGTATCTTAAATCAGCCCATGCAGGCTGGGCTGATATTTGTATGTTGAACTATCCTTACAACCCAGGGATAAATCTCATTTGGTCATGGCATGTAATCCTTTTTATGTGTTCCTCAATTTGGTTTGCTAATATCTTGTTGAGAATTTTTATTTCTGTATTCATCAGGGATATTGATTTATAGTTTTCTTGTGGTGTCCTTATCTGGCTTTGGTGTCAGGGTGATGCTGGCCTTGTAGAATGAGTTTGGAAGTACTCCCTTCTCCTCGATATTTTGGAAGATTTGAGAAAGATTGCTGTTAATTCTTTAAATGTTTGGTTGAATTTGCCAATGAGGCTGTCTAGTCCTGGGGCATTCTTTGTTGGGAGGTTTCCATTCCTGATTCAATCTCTTTGCTTATTATTGGTCTAATCAGATTTTTCTATTTCTTCCTGATTTAGTCTTGGTAGGTTGTGTATTTTTAGAAATTTATCCAATTCTTCTAAGTTATCTAATTTGTTGGCATATAATTATTCATAGTCTCTATGTTCCTATGTATTTCTGTAGTATCAGTTGTAATGTCTCCTTTTGCATTTCTAATTTTACTTATTTCAGTCCTTTTTTTTCTTAGTCTGGTTAAAAGCTTGTCAGTTTTGTTTATCTTTTTGAAGAACCAGCGTTTAGTTTTGTTGATCCTTTTTTATTGCTTTTCTTTTTTCTATTCATTTATTTCCACTCTGATTTTTATTATTTATTTCTTTCTGCTAAGTTTGGGCTTACCTTGTTTTTCTTCTTCTGATTCCTTAATGTGTAAAGTTAGGTTGTTCATTAGAGATCTTTTGAATTTCTTAATATATGCATATATAACTATAAACTATCCTCTCAGAACTGCTTTTACTGTACCCATATCATTTGATACGTTGTATTTCCATTTTCATTTGATTTGAGATAATTCTTTACTTCCCTTTGATTTCTTCTTGACCTATTGGTTGTTTAGCTTCCACGTATTTTTAGACTTTCCAGCTTTCCTCGTGTTGATTTTTAGTTTCATACCATTGTGGTCAGAAAAGATAGTTGGTATGATTTCAGTCTTCTGAAATTTGCTGCAATTTGTTTTGTGCCCTATTATATGATTGATCCTGGAAAATATTTTGTGTGCACTGGAGAATGTGTATTCTGCTCCTGCTGTGTGGAATGTTCTATTTATGTCTGTTAAGTCCATTTGTTCTAGAGCAGGGGTGGGCAAACTTTTTGACTCGAGGGCCACAATGGGTTCTTAAACTGGACCGGAGGGCCGGAACAAAAGCATGGATGGAGTGTTTGTGTGAACTAATATAAATTCAAAGTAAACATCATTACATAAAAGGGTACGGTCTTAGTTTTATTCATTTCAAATGGGCCGGATCCAGCCCGCGGGCCGTAGTTTGCCCACGGCTGTTCTAGAGCATGCTTCAATTTCCTTTCCTTGATTTTCTGTTTGGATGATTTATTCACTGTTGAACCTAATTAGTGTCTTTTCACTTCAGCTTGAATAACTCTCAGCATTTCTTGCAAGGCAGGCTTAGTGGTGGTGAACTCCCTTTAGTTTTTGTTTGTCTGGAAAAGCCTTTATTTCTCCTTCATATCTGAAGGATAACTTTGCCAGATGAAGTGTCCTTGGCTGGCAATTTTATGTTTCAGTGCTTTGAATATGTCATTCCACTCTCTCCTGCCTGTAGACTTTCTGCTGAGAAATCTGTTGATAACCTAATGGAGGCTCCTTTGTAGATTACTTTCTCTTTTTCCTTGACTGTCTTTAATATATTTTTCTTTACCATTGATTTTTAAGTTTCATTATAATGTGTCTTGGAGACAGTATTTTTAAAAAATATATGTTTATTGATTCCAGAGAGGGAGAAGAAGAGATAGAAACATCAATGATGAGAGAGAACCATCGATCAGCTGCCTCCTGCACACCCCCCACTGGGGATCGAGCCAGGTACCAGGCATATGCCCTGACCAGGAATTGAACCATGACTTCCTGGTTCATAGGTCGACGCTAAACCACTGCGCCATGCCAGCTGGGCCTTTTTGCATTGAGAGAGTAAGATGTTCTATTAGCTTTTTAGACTTATCTGTTCAATTTATTCCCCAGGTTTGGGATGTTCTCAGCTATTATTTTTCTAAGTACACTCTGCTCCCTTCTCCCTCTCTTCTCCTTCTGGACCAGTTATTCTTATATTTGTTTCTCTCATCATTATCATAGAGCTCTTGTAAGGTTCATTTTCTAAAAATCTTAGTTTGCTCTCCTTTCCTGAGTCATTTCTAAATTCCTATCCTCCAAGTCAGAATGCTTTTTTAAAAATCTGGTCTGCCCTTTTCCCTAAGCTCTCTAATGCATTCTTCATTTCATTCATTCACTTTAGCTCCAGAATTTGTCTGCTTTTCCCTCCTTTTATTGAACTTATTGGGGTGACACTGGTTAAGAAAATTTTACAGGCCTCAGTGGCACAATTCTACAACATACAATCTGTACACTGTATTGTGTGTTCACCGCCCTGTCTGCTTCTTTTTAAAAATTTCAGTCTTAGGCACAGAATGCCTTTTGTTCAATAATTTTATTCCTAAATTCTTTGGAATCCCTTTCTGAGTTTTCTAGTAGCTCATTGAATCTCTTCAGCTATTTTGAATTCTTTACCAGATAGATCATAATATTCTGTTAATTTGGGTTCAGGTGCTGGAGACTGGTCATTTTCATTTTTTCGATACCATATTACCATGATTTTTCCTGGTGTTTGACATGTGTCTCTGCTGTTGCATTTGAAATAGCACACATCTTTCTTAGTTGTTCACCTTGTTACAATTCAAGACTGGAAATTAGGAACCCTCCTTTTATTTTCCAGAAGGTGGTGGAATAGCTCAAGTTTCTGGTTCCTCTTTTCCTGAGTTGGCTCTGGGGCTGGCTGCCCTGGGGAAGGAGTATAAAAACACTGGTGTAGAAAAATCTGGAGTAGAGTTAAGGGAAGTGCAGGGTTAGCATCTGGGGCTTTGTGTTGCCCACAGCCCAGGAGGGGAATCCTCAGTGGGGGTACTCGGAGAGGTTCCTGCACAGACTCCTGCTGAAATCCTAAGGTTTTTTTCAATACACTTTATTATCCTTGTAAACTGCCTTCCCTTTCCTCTCCTTCCACCCAGTCAGGAGATCCCTCCTCAGTTACTCCTGCTACTGAGGAGAAATGGATACCTCAGCCCCAGCCCCATCCATGGTCAGTTACTCAATACTTTTCTCTCTCTACCTCCTTTGTGAGTAAGGTAGCTGTTGTCACTGCTGGTAAAAGCCCAGCTTGTTACCCTGTCACCTGGGGAGGAGGGCTGACTTCTTGAGTTACTTCTCCTCTGCCTCCAAACTGGTCTCTGTCCCATTTGATGACAGGCCTGGTTCTCCCATGAGGTTGGCTGGATTTCCACAAATTCTCTATCTCCCTGTGTGTCCACCTGTTTTGCACTCTCCAGTTTCGCTCCCCTCCTAACCCCACTTCACTGCAAGAGGGGGTGGGGCAGGCTTACTGACTCCCTTGGATCCGAAGCCCTACCGCCCCCCCCCCCCCCCAGGTCCTACCCACCTACTTCTGAAGCAGCAAAGGTAGAAATCTCTTGGGTGTCCTGGTGTAATGAGCAAAGACACTTTTGTATAGATATGAGTGACCAGTTAGTTGTAAGTAAAAGGGGAGAAAAAACGGGACTTATGCTGCCATGATACTGACGTCACTATTTTTTATATATGGGTTTAAGTTACGTATAGTATCAAGAATTAAAATATTTCATACCTGGAAGCTTCGGTAAGTCACCTGAATTAATTAAAAAAAAAAAAAAAAGGATGGGGGGGCGCGTAATTCCAGGTCAAACACTGCGTGTTAAGGATTGCCTATGAGCATGGCATACCAGCAGGCTATGAATGTTGACTTGGGGTGAATTCCTGGTTCTTGGCAGGAGAAACACCCCCTTTCAAAGCCATTTCTTTGTGTCCTAAAACAAGTAGCCCTTTTGTGAGAAACCTCTAGTGTTTTAATTCATCCCACTTTTTTGTTGTTAATCCTCACCCAAGGATATTTTTTTTCTCCATTGATTTTTAGAGAGAGTGGAAGGAGGGGGAGAGAGAAGCATTTATGTGAGAGAGACACATCAATTTGTTGCCTCCTGCATGTGCTCCAACTGGGGCCAGGGATTGAGGCTGCAAATCGAGGTACATGCCCTTGACTAGAATTGAACCCATGCTCCTTCAGTCTGTGGGCTGACACTAACTAGTGAGCAAATCCAGCTAGGGCTCCATGATTTATTTATTTGTTTATTTATTTAATTGGTTGGGATGACATTGGTCAACATGAACATAGTTTTCACGTGTGGATTTGTGTTACGAAATCTGAATATTGCATCATGTGCCCACCACCCAAAGTCAGATTTTCTCCTGTCACCTGTTAGGACCTCTTTTCCCCTCACCCCCTTCCCTCTGGCAACCCCACACTGCTGTTTGTGTTTATGTTTCAGTTTTATGTCCCACATGAGTAAAATCGTAATTGTTCTTAGCTTTTTCTGACTTATTTCACTTAGCATAATGTTCTCAAGATCCATCCATGTTGTCAAAAATTCATCCTTTCTTATGACTGAGTAGTATTCCATTGCATATATATATATCACATCTTTACCTAGTCCTCTATCGAATAACACTTTGGTTGTTTCCATGTCTTGGCCACCGTGAATAATGCTGCAATGAACATAGGAGTGTGTATATCTGCGAATAAGCGATTTCGAGTTTTTCGGTTACCCAGGAGTGGGGTTGCTGGGTCATTTGGTAGCTCAATTCTTAATTTTTTGAGGAATAACCAGACTGCTTTCCATAGTGGCTGTACCATTTTACATTCCTACCAGCAGTGAATGAAGGTTCCTTTTTTCCCACCCCTCCACCACTTATCTTGTTGATAATGGCCACTCTAACAGGTGTAAAACTACTCATTGTAGTTTTAATTTGCATTTCCCTAATTGCCAGTGAGGTTGAACATCTTATATCTATTGGCTGTCTGTATGTCTTCTTGGGAGAGGTGTATTTTCAGGTCTTCTGTAGGGCTCCTCCCCCCCCCCCACCCCCCTTTTATTTTGGTTATCTTTACCTGAGGACTTTTTTAAAAAAAATATTTTTATTGATTTTAGAGAGGAAGTGAGAGGGAGATAGAAACATCAACGACAAGAATCATTGATTTGCTGCCTCCTGCACACCCGCTACTGGGGATTGAACCCACAACTGGGCATGTGCCCTTGGCTGGAATTGAACCTGGGACCCTTCATTCTGCAGGCTGATGCTCTATCCATTGAGCCTAACCAGCTGGGGGAGGATATTTTTCCATGGATTTTTAGAGTGGAAAGACAGAAATATCGATGTGAGAGAAATACATTGATTGGTTGCCTCCTGGACTCTCCCGACCAGAGCCTGGGCCAGGGAGGAGCCTGCAACCAAGGTATGTGCCCTTGACTGGAATCGAACCCAGAACCCTTCTATCTGCAGGCCAACACTCTATCCACTGAGCCAAACTGGCTAGGGCTAGGGCTAGGGCTAGGGCTAGACTTTTAAATCCATTCCACAAATGAGGCCAACTAAATGTAAGGCACAATGGTAGATCCTGGAAATATGTATTATGACTATCACACAACTTTGTATAGTTTTTTTGTTTAAATGTCTTTATTGATTTTAGAGAGGAAGGGGGAGAGAAACATCAATCGACTGCCTCCTACATGCCTCCCCATCAGGGATTGAGCCTCCAGTCTGGGCATGTGCCCTGATGGGAATTGAGCCAGTAACCCTTTTGGTGCATGGGATGATGCTCAACCAACTCAGTCACACCGGCCTGGGCAGGGCACACAACTTTGCATTTCTTAGTGCTTTTTATTTCAATTCTTTTGGCATATGTAAGTAGCAGAAAGTAAATATGTACATACAAAATAAGTTCTTAAAATGGTTTTAGTATTGGCCAGTCACTGCCATTTTTTTAAAAAGGCATTTTCCTTCAAGATTTTTAAGAAAACTTTTTAAAAAAATTGACTCTAGAGAGAGGAAGAGAGAGAAACATTGAGAGGTTGCCTCCCGCATACTCCCTGACCAAGGATTGAATCCGCAACCTGGGTGTGTACCCTGATTGGGAATCAAACCCACACCTTTTGGTATATGGGATGACGCTTCAACCAACTGAGCCACAATGGCCAGAGCCAGTCACTGATATCTTTATTTTGAAAGTTTGAATTGTCCAACATGTCTAAAGTGCATTTTTGCAGCTAATCAGTAGCAGCATTTGTTTTGTTTATAAAACCTTAAGAAATATTCAGGCAAGAGCTGGAAAAGTCACAATATAAAAGAAAGTGTGATCTATATATCTTCTTCCTTAATCACTCAAGACAAACACTTGCACGGATTAGTTTATGAGTATACAAGAAATATACAAAAAAATATCATTATTAAAAAGGTCCATACGGCAATGAGAAAAGAGGGTCTCTCTTTGCTGTTAATATTAAATATGGCAAGGCGTATTATATAAAAAGTTTGTTGAATCCTAGATGTCTTTGGGAAATCTTTGATCTAGGCCAGTGCATAATGTATCTGAGGTCTGTGAGAGTCAACAAAGCTGGACTTCTCCCAGCATGGTTTTGGAAAAATCACCAACACAATGAAAATGTTCTTTCGTTACCGAGACGTTAGTTCATGGCTTCTTGCGCCTAAAATGCAAAAACAGCATTTAGTGTTGAATTTTGCTATCAATTTCACATTCGGGGCAGTTTAATCTCTAGGAGAGCTCTAAGATAATTCAGCCAAAGGACTTGCATGCATGTATATGAGCATAACCAATGGACAGACTGGGGGGTGGGGACAGCTGGGACGAGGTCAATGGGAGAAAAAGGAGTCTTATGTAATACTTTTAACAATAAAGAATAATAAGAAAAGATAATTCCTGGTTTTATCATGGGAAATATTCAAGTCCTTCTGAGAAAGCAAATAACCGTTACCAACTATGCTTATCTAGTATTAAACTTAAAAAACAGGACGTCTTTCCATCTTTATCCTGTTACAGCGATTTTATATATTGCCTAAGGAATACATGTGTTAAATATGAACACGTGGACTTATTTAAGTAGATATTTGAAAAGGAGGAGTTTTACTAATATGGAAAAAAGACTGTGATCTGGAATGGTCTTTAGAGATCATCCAAGACTCTTGGATATGTGTTTAATAGAAGAGGGAAAGTATGATTCCTTTCCAAACCTATAAATTTCACCATTGTTTTACTTTAGTGAACACTTAATTGCTGTAACAAGACCAAGAGGCACATTAGGAAAGAATGAATTACAGGAAGAGCTATCATCCCTGACAAAAGCCTTTAACCTCCCTTCCTTATAGGTGATCTCAGTTCAGCCTCTGAAAGCTTTGACCATTGGCAGAATATGAACAAGAGTGAGCCAATCTTCCATCTCCTTTTGTTCTTGCAGCTCTAATTGCTCTTATCAAGCCCTGCAAGGTCCTCAGCCCTGTTGCTGCCTGCTGCAGTCTGCCAGTAGGACCCAGGTACGCCAAGGGGTAAGCAAAAGCCACTTATGTCCTCTGAAAAGAAGTGGATGGTAGGGAGAAGGGTGGTGTTGGAAAACATACAGGGCCCAATTACCCATACTCACTTGGGTTGTGCATGATGCTGATATCCAGGTCCCAGCTGAGACCCTGCTCTCATCTCTACAGCCACAGAGCACTGATAGGAAAATTACAGAAGAGGAAAAGATCAGTTCCCTCAGAGTCTATAAAACACAATTCTGTTTAGATAAGTTCCATCAAGGTGAAATCCACCTTGCTTTTCTAGTTCAGCACAGGTACCTGTTAAAATACCAGTCAGATACTTGCAGCTTATTTCACATAGGCCACAAGACTGTGATCTGGAATGTCTTTGGAGATCATCCAAGTAATTTTCCTCGAGAAATTAGTGGCTACAGCTTGCCTGGCCCCCACCTTCCCATATGAGCCTCTTCTTAGGAACAACAGTTCCACAGCAAAGTTCTGCTTCAGAGATTCCCATCCATCTGAAGTGAATTCTTGTTATCCTAGGGCAGCAATTTTCAACCTTTTTCATCTCGTGGCACACAAGCTAATTACTAAAATTCTGCAGCAATACCAAAAATACCTTTGCCTATCTGACAAAAAAATAAAAAAAAGGGTATATACTTTTGATTGATTTACAAAAAAATATATAATAGTAGTAATTTATCTACCCTTTTTGCTCCAATGTGACTTTTTAAAAAAATCAGGTGCCTACACATGTATAGGATTTCTGGTACCAAGAATTAACCAAACAGACACAACCTTATTATGCGACATGACCAATAAATAAGATGCAACTTCAACATTATTATATGACCTATATATTTATGGTTCAAGACAGGGCTGCACTGGCAATGTGAGATCAGACCTCAGCTACTCCAAAGAGCATGAAAAGCTACAGCTGTGGGGCTTAAAATATGACACCCCTAATTTTTATTAAGCAGACAAGTATTTAAGTTTTACCCATACCCTGGTTTCTACATCGGTCCATTCAGACTCTGCACCATCTGGTTGGGCAGGTGCTACTGTGGAAGATCTTCGTTTTCGACTGGAGAAAGGGGAAACATGATGCAACAATTATTTCTGTTGTATATCTAACAACACAAAACATTAGAAATAGGGGAAATAGCACTACAGTTCTTCAGAGAACAAGAACAGAATACACTTTTACAGGCTAGTCTGTTCCTGGAGAATGAGCAGCTAAGAAAACGACAGTCCTCTAAGGGACACATTTGATGCTAACTCACCCAGTCGGTGATTCTTGTTTCAAAGTCTCAATATCAGTAAACTGAACAGCTTGTCCACCACCCCTTGTTTTATAAACATCACCCTAGAGCCAAGAAAAAAGGTCATCATTACACTTTCATACATCCAAATGATAAGCATACAGATATACTTTAAACTGATACTGCAATCACAAAACCAGATGGTGCTTGGGACTGTGGGCCTGTACATTAAAATACTTCAGAAATTTGAGTACAGCTCTCTCACTAAACAAGAGGTCCAATGCATTATAATCAGTAACATTTTTAATTGCAGAAAATATTATTCCTTTTCATTCAACTTATAAAAACTATGCTTAGGATCAAGAAATTTCTGAATGTTCTAAGGCATTATACTTTCCTCTCTGGGTGTGCCATCCCCTTCATATTCAAATAACTGTCTTATTTGAAACTATAGTTATAATAAGAACCATCCTCTAAATTGAATTTGAAATTTAAAACTTTTTTTTCATCTTCCCTGATAATTCATCGACTCTACGTTCAGGGGGAAATTCTTCTATAGACAGACAAAAAAGGGCTTTGGGTAGCTCAATACTAAGTAATTTTGATAGGTCAGATTTTAATGTGGGCTTTTTATCTTGAACTGACAGGAAGCAAAGGTAGTTCTTTGTTTTGGTTTACTTTTCAAGTAGGGGTTAAAACAAAGTACACATTAATTAAAAGTACATAATAAATCTGGCATTCCTTTAACAAACCTGAGAATCTAAACTTCATTAAATAGAAAGCAAATTTAGTCCTGGTTTAACAGATTCAAACCCTAAGCAGTTACTTTAGTTTTGTAACAAAGAGATTATATCATATACCCGTTTATGTCCCAGTGGACAGACACTGCCTGTGTGTCATCGAAGGAATGGAAGGACAAATGGATTTTTGTTGACTTTTTTTCTCCTGTACAAATTTGTTTTTACCTTAATTAGTTTAGTTTCAATCTCCCCATCGGAGGCTAGTTCTTGGTGGGTCAGCATGTACTTCTCACACTTAGCTAGTGCCTTTTCATTTGCAACAGACACTGTGATGGCATGAGGGACATGTGGCTGCATGACTGTTGCAGTTTGCACGTTAGAGGCAGGCTTATGATCTACCCATCTGTCTCCTGCAGAGCGTGATCGTCTGTGTCGGAGACGAAGTGGTGGTGCGTTCTGATCAAGTTGAAAGGAATCAAGAAACAAGCATAACCCAGAATTAATTTAAGGGTATTATTAGAAGTGCAGCAGGTTTGGCTACATTAGTTGCTGACAATATAAAACAAATGCATGAACTTTTTCAAAAGCTAAATATGTTATTCAAATGCTTTAAATGTCCTCTTTGAATTTAAACACAAAACCAACAAGCATCTTTTAACACCAGCTTGTATATTATACATTCTACCAGGAACTTCCCTTTCAACAAAGAACGGAAGGAAAAATTCTGGTAACGCTGTTAGTCTTCCCTGTGTAGGTAGTATTCAAGACAAAATCATTTCATATTCTTAATCAAAACCCAGTATTTGTGCTTGTTATTGTGAGGTAATCTATTAGGCCCACAACTATGGTAAAAGCTTCAATAATAATATCAATAAAAGCCTAAACATTTCATAGATCTCTAAATAAAAGAGAAAACATGCCTTATACAAAGACAAAAAAAATAAAAGCTGATTGGCCCGTATAATACAAAACGCTAAAGAACATAAGGTAAAATTAAGAACCCCATGTATAAAATGAGCAAATGAATGTAAATAAAGTACTTCTGAGTATTTTCTGAAATTTTAAAATCTCTAAACAGAAGTTCATTAAAAAAGGTCAAATACGCCGAGACCGGTTTGGCTCAGTGGATAGAGCGTCGGCCTGCGGACTGAAGGGTCCCGGGTTCGATTCCGGTCAAGGGCATGTGCATGGGTTGCGGGCACATCCCCAGTGGGAGGTGTGCATGAGGCAGCTGGTCGATGTTTCTCTCTCATCGATGTTTCTGACTCTCTATCCCTCTCCCTTCCTCTCTGTGAAAAATCAATAAAATATATTAAAAAAACAAAAACAAAAAAGGTCAAATACAACAATGGCTATAACATATCCCCACCCCCCAAACATTTCATAAATAGTTCCAAGAACCAGATAAATAGTATAATGTCAAACCATTCTCTATCATATAATGAAAAACTATTTGCTTCCAAGTCAAATGTCATGTAAGTTTGGAAAAGCTAAATTTAGCATATTCAATCTGAGAAAACATCATATAAGACATAGTTAATAGTTTGAAACAATGAGTTATCTTTGGTAATTTGCCAATTGTTTGTTTGTAAAACTGAAAGCAAATGAAACCGTGTGCCACAGGCTAAATCCTTCCAAGCTAGTCAAGTATGAAGACTCCAATTTCAAAATGCATATCTAGAGCACTAAAGTATTTTCCCTGTATAATTAGAACAAATGAAGCACTAGTGCTATATCATGACAGTATAAAACACGGCCAATATAGTTTGTCCCAGAAGATCGCCAAGCTTCACAGCAAGCAGGAAACTTTCCATTCTTAGATAGTCTGGCTCTCATGATCTACATTTAGCAAAAGTGATAGTTTTCTTGAGCACATTTAGTAATAAATGTATTCTGAAACAAGCTTCAGAAAGATGACAGACCTTAACAATCTACTACAGTTTATGAAATAAATGATATTTAAAATTTCATCCTTACTGAGTATAATTTCAACCTACAGGACATAATTTTTGACCAACAAACCTAAATGCATAGATACTAGCCTAAACTTTTCTGCTGCACTTCTTAAGAGATTTTGATTTCAAGTGATAAGTTCAAGTATCTCTAGTAAATCCTCTTAAATATCTCCTAGCCAAATTAGGTGTTAAATTAATGTTGACTAGGCATAAGCAAACCATGAGTAGTTTTGTCCATAATCTTTCATGAAATAAAGGGGATTTACTAGAGTTGATCAGAAAGACCAGTCACCATCATTTGCTCCCTAAAAAGGTTTAAAGCAGTATCTGCAAAGAACAGAACTTAAGAGACTTAAAAAAAAAAAAAATCAAAGGCAAATAGTTACTATAAGATTAATTTGTTTAGAAGAAAAAATTTAAAAGAGCTATATATTAAGATTTTACTAAATGTAAGTTCACATTAGTAACTTGGTTCATTTATTCAGATTTAGGGAGAAACTTTACCTTAATCCTTAAGAAGAAAATATAAATGTGGATTTATTTAAACACCCTTGATTGAGGCAGAGCCCTTGTAAATTGAAATAAAGGTCTTGAGATTAAAAGCAATTTATTAGGCATGCAAACCTTCAGTAGTTATAAAATAACTGGCCTGGACTCTTCAAAATAGTCCATGTCATGAAAATAAAAAAAAGAGCAGAGGACTATATATTAAAAGAGATTAAAGAAACATAACAACCACATGCAAAGCATTCACCTTGATAGAATCATGCATGGAAAACAGGAAAACCATTGCTGGGACAACTGGGGAAATGTAAACATGAACTATATATCAGAGGACGTTTACTCAGAGTTAATATTACCTTTCTTTAGTGTGATAAAGATGATGGTTATAAAGAATTATGTCCTTATTCTTAGGGATGAAGTATCATGAAGTCTGACTACTTTCAAAGATTCAAGGAAAAAAATGTTTACATATCTATATAAAGTAACGATTGGTACATGTAGGTAAGGGGAAAAAAAGATACTGTACCATTCTTTCAACTTTTCTTTGAGTTTGAAATTTTTCAAAATAAAAGTTGGAAAGATAGTTTTAAAAAGTAAAAGTTAAAAAAATAAAAGTTCAAAAGCAGCAAAAAACCTAACTTGGGAAGAAGCCATAAGAAAAAAAATTTGGAGCCCGGCTGGTGTGGGTCAGTGGTTGAGCATCAACCCATGAACCAGGTCATGGTTGTATTCCCCGTCAGGATACATGCCCAGGTTTCGGGCTCGATCCCAAGTAGGGGGCATGCAGGAGGCAGCCAATCAATGACTCTCTCATCATAGGTGTTTCTCTCTCTCCCTCTTTGAAATCAACAAGAAAATATTAAAAAAAAAAAAAAAAATCAGAAAATGTGCTATGACACTCATATTCACATGCTTATTAGCTTATGCAACTAAAAAGCACAGATTACTCCGGCATGTGCCCTACTGACCGTGTTCACTGAACACAGGCACTTTAAAAAAATGTGTTTTTTAATTATTATTTTAAAATCTTTTTTTTCTTTGTTTTTATTGATTTCATAGAGGAAGGGAGAGGGAAAGAGAGAAAAACATTGACTGGCTGTCTCCAGCATGCCCCCTACAGGGGATTGAGCTTGAAAACTGTGCGTGCTCTTACCAGTAATGAAACCAGTGACCTAGTGGTGCATGGGATGATGCTCAACCAATTGAACCACATGGGCCAGGCTTTTTCAGCTCAAGAGCTAGGCCTCAATTTTGGGATGATTTTATCTTTCAAATTAATATAAAAATTAGACCTTGTTTATAATGGACCTCACCCACCTTTCTGTCGAATTTTCTGAACCAAGGTATAAAAACACAAGATTAAATTCTATTGCTATAATGCTTTAAAATGACACTGGCACTAACCCTGTAGCATTGATCCTCTTCTACTTCTATCTCATTTCTGAATGTAGGAACCAACTCCCTGCCTTCAGTCCAGTACATCCCTCGCCTTCTGTCTGACACGATACAAGTTTTACTTTGTCCTGGCTCCTGCTGCCTACGCCTTGCAATGGATGTGACATTGGGAGGTGTGTTGTACGAAGGAATTTTCTGCTCCCATTCCGAAATACAGGAAGCTACAGAGATGCTGCTGCAAGAGTTAGAGCGCCTATGTAGATGTGGCTGGCTCATGAGTTGCTGGCCGTTGGAAATCTGAGCAATAGAGTTACCAGAAAGCTAAAAAAATTGAAAAGAAATTAATGAGCAAGACTGAAAAACTGAGAGAAAGAATTCATTACTTTCTATAATTTAACACATGAAGATAACATTATAATTATTTGTACTAAATTACTACATTTTTATACTAAATTTGTGTTTATACTAGATTAAAAACAAATAGATGTCTGAGAAATATAAGTAATACAAAACAAAAAACTGATTCTCATAAAAACAGTCACCTAACCTATCCCTAAGTTACTGCACAACTACACATAACTTACAGGTACTGGCGATGGAGAAACAGATCTTGGAGCAGCTTTTTCTCGATCCCGCTCCCGAGAGGGTCTCTCTGGCTTTTCAGTTTTGGGTTCAGTAACAATAGCCTTCAGTTGTTTCAGTTTCTCATCTTTCACCCAGAGCTTATTTTGCATCTCCAGTTGTTTAGCTGCTACTCGACGCTCCTGTGGATTATCAGTGGTAATATATGTACACTCTGCACGTCCGCCAGATGACTGAAACCCTGTCATACAAACTATAGTGCTCCAGTTCTTCCTGAGGTAACTACACTTCATGTTGATGAATTTCAAGGGCAGAGAAAGGAATGAACTGAATAGGCAACTACTGCCACCACCACCAAAACCCTAACCCAGGTAGTCATTCAAAACACTACAATTTGAAATAAGTCACCCGTCTCTGCGATAGCAGAGGGATGACACTCACGCATTCTTTCTCCCACTTCATTGTTGTTTCCGTCACCATGCCTTGCAACCTGGCTTCTAGTCTGCGTTTGTCAGAAAACTGTTGCTGAAGTTTCTGATTCTGGGCCTCAAGTTCCTGTTGCAGATTGCGCTTATCTTCTTCATAGATAGTAGTTGTTTTCTCTAAAATTTCAATCTGGAAGGCAGACCGTTATGTTCAATAATTGGTATGTAAATATATAGCTCTAAAACAATCTTTTATAATTTGTTTATGGCAAGCAGAATTGTGGAAAGAAAAAATCATGGATAAAGCATTTTCCTCTAAAATTTCACCTGAATTTACTACCTTAATTCCTAGAAATGACAACTTTTTAAACATGTTCCTCATACTGAAAGATGAAGTTATAAATGATTTAATGTAAAAATTATTTTCCCCTAAAATCAGGCCTAATATTTTTTCATTCTTCTTATCAGCCAGGTCATCCTAACAGTCCGAATTCCCAGACACTGGACTGCTGCTTGGTTTGGTCCTAAGTCTAGTCACTGGGCCTGTGCTAGTGGAGGCTGGTCAATGTTGGAGGAAGATGTTGCTTTTTCTATATCCAGCACTGCCTCAGGCCCAGGGTCTCTGCACAGCTGACTACTGTGTTGGCAGGAAGAAGGGCACCATGTATTATACTGAGGTGTGTTGTATGAAGGTGGAGTCAAAATGGACCTTGGTTCAGCAACCTCAGTAGAGTTCTGGCTAAGAAAGAATTCAGAGCCAACACTCAAACAATAAGACAGTTTATTTAGAAAGTCACAGAGGTAGAAGTGAGCAGTGGAAAAAAATAAGTTAGATAAAAGGGACCCTTGGAGCTTAGGAAAGACAAAGGTAAAGGTCACGGGGCGGGGGGAGAAGGGGCATGGGTGGGAGATGGGAAAGGAGCCGTCCTTCTCCAGGGAGGGAGAGCGCCAGGCCTAAAATTTAAAATTTATTTCATTATTATTTAAAAAAAATTCTTACCAGAGGATATGTTTCCATTGAATTTTAAAAAGAGACAAAGGGAAGAAAGAGGGCAGAAGGGAGGGAGGGACATCGCTTGGTTGCCTCTGTATGCCCCATGACCAGGATCGAACCTGCCACCTTTTGGTGTATGGGACTACCCACCAACCAACTGAACCACTCGGCCAGAACCTAAAATTTTATTTTTAAGGTTATTTTGGTTGAGATTAATTTCTCTCTAAAATGAGTGTTCCCCCCAAATGATTCTCTATAAATGAGTGAACAAACATATATTGTCTAGTAATAAGTTAGAAAACCAAGCTATAATCAAAGCTAAGCTCTAGAAAGCCCTTTATAAAGCTTATTTGATTGGGCCAGAGAACATCTTCAACTGTTAACATCTAACTCATAAAATTAAAGAGTGTAACATCCCTTTTATGCTTTTCACTCACATTTCCTCTTTTTGGGGGGTGGTAGGTTGAAGATTAGCAAATAACTAAGTGATAACTCTTAGCAGTATTTATAGACCTGGAGAGCATAAGGATTAAGTCAGAGAACAGTAGTAAATACCCATTCTAATATTGTCAAAACCAACCTTATATTCTAAAGTTTTGGTTTTTTTCTCCAGTCGTTCTATTTCCAATTTTTGTCCTGAGATCACCTTTTCTTTTTCATTCAGTTTTCCTTGAATGGAGTTTTCTTTATTTGAAACACCCTTGTCAAATTCTTGCAACATACCTTTAAAAGTAAGAGCTGAAACAAAAGCATGCAGGTTTTGTTTATTCCAATTCCAAAATAACAAACGCGCTCAACTTTTTTAGCCAATACTATAGTCTTTCATTTTGCACTATGACATCCCAGTCCTTATGGGTAAATAATTGGCTTTAAAACAACAAATACAAAACCAGAAATAACAGATTCATCCTAGGAACAGTTAGATCCAAATCGAATCTCTAGTCACCACTTACTAGATATGTAACTTGGGCAAGTTATTTATCTGAGCACATTTCCTCATTTCAAAGTGGGAATTTAAATAGCACTTATCTCATACTTTTTTTTTTTTGGTGAAGATGAAAATGAATTGATGATGGTGCTAGAAATAGATATATCACTGAGCATTAACTGTGTACCAGGCTGTTCACTCTTCTACATGATTTTTATAAATTATCTCACAAAAACCCTCTGAAGTAGAACAATTACAATCCCCATTTTGTGGACAGGGAACTAAGAAAGAGAGGATTAAATAATCTGCCCAAAGGTACAGTTATAAAGTGCCTTGCAAATAAGTAGTAGGAACTACAAGTAGCTATTACTCCTTTGTGTACATCACTTGTTAGTTTTAAAATGGGAGACAATACACACCAACTTTTTTCGTTTGCTTTACTTTCTTTGAATTAAAAAAAAAAAAAAAAAGCCATGGGAAAAGTTCCTTGTTAGTCTAATTAAACAATGCCTTGAGCACTCACTACAAGTGCAAAGAGAGACAAAATAATCCTTTCTTAAAAATCCACCCCACTACAAAACTCAGATTCATTACAAATTTCTAGAGTTAAAATGATTGTAAAAGGTTTTGGCCTTACATTGTTTGGTGAACTCATCCATCATCATTTGTCGTAGCTGATGGCGTTTCTCTAATGTTTCAATAAGCCTGGGGAGAGTCTGCTCATCATTGATATCCAAAATCTCGCAGGACGGCAAGGGTGGAAAACTCTGTAAGACCACTTCTGTAACCAACAGTTCTGTATTGAATTATAAAAAAAATTTTAAAGTTACACAGCAGAGAAAGAACTTATTTACACAAGTTTAACACTGATTAGAGCTCCAGTCCAATTAACTGTATTTTCTTGAGTTGTCATAATCATACTTTTAGCTGTAAAAAGAAAACCAGGAAAAGTTAAAAAATATGAGTTAATCATATGTAACAAAAGAAGTCTCATTTATATTCTACTGGTTCCGATTTCTTTTTGCACTTGATGCTTTAGGGTAAGAGAAATGAACAGTTTTCTTATGTGAAATAGATTAAAAAGACAGACCAATCAGTGGACAAATAATCTGATTCCAAAACATACCATCTCCAACTGGACCTGCCCGAACGTGGTTCCTGTATCGCCGTCCAGGTGTTAAACCACATATTGCCTTGTCTACTGGTCTTGCTACTTCAACTTCCTGGGTCACTTCTGCAAATCTCATGACTTGCTAAGACACAAAACAAATGGAAGTGTTTTTGTTTGTTTGTTCTTGTTTTTACAAATAAACATATCCAAGTCCTGTTTGTTCTTGTTTTTACAAATAAACATATCCAAGTCCTGCCTCAGAAATTACTATGAAACAATATTAAATTGACCATCAGCTCATTTCTGTAACTGATGGTTCTGCACCAATTCTTTAAATGTTCAAAATGTCATTCTTCACAGATAGTTGTCAGAGAGTTGTTTTCTCTGTAGAAACCTGAGACTGTATAGGATAAATACATTAAAATTACCAAGCTTTCTTCATAATCTTCAGCCTTTGGATTCACACACACGATCATGCGTACTTTTCCTTCCCCATCAAAATAGTTCTTGAACAGATGGGTTAACTTTGAATCTCGATATGGAACCATCTATAAATACATTCAAATCCAAATAAACATGTAAGGCAAAAAAGGCACACAAATAAACTATACAAATGAAAGGCTGTTGCTTACCTTGTTAGTTCCATACATTTGGTTCTCTCTCAGGACTTCCATACATGTTCTTAGCGTCATTAGTGATTGGTTAATGTTACCTAACAGAAAAATATACACAGAAGACATCTGAAAAAAACAGTGTAGTCTGTTTGGCTATAAAATCCCTATTGCATACAACTATTAGATGGAATTAACAGATTTTAGTGGCTCAATTTAAAGAGCTGTCCATGCATGGTCTGGCAGTATTTTAATAGCAGTGTTTCAGGAGAGGTTAAATATCATCCTTCAGGGATTCATCAAAAGGACACTCCAATGAATGCAACATTACACTTCATGACCCATTTTCTTCCAAATCTTAAATTCCGTGAAATAGTATATTAGATGTAGCTGTTTAATGTCCTCATATAAAATATTATCTCTAAAGCATGGCCATTTCAGGCTACAGTTGGCTCCATCAACACTGAAATCTCTCCTGCACCAAGAGGGGCTCCTGTTTCTAAGTCAAATGTCTTAGGACCCAGCTAATCCTTGTCCCTCTACATTTAAAGTAACAAGTATTTTTAGGTGGCATACTTGTTACTTTTGACCACTTTTGTTTGGATTTCTGAACAAAGACAAGTCTGAAAAATTAATCAAGCCTCCAATAGCACAGGAGATCTCACCTGCATAAACCCCAAAAGTACGTAAGAATTTGTTTATTTTGGAACTCTGATTAAGGTTGACTAAACCATATTTTCATCCTTGGCCACCCTCTCAAAACACATGGCTCATCTGTACCCTCATAATATTCCATGATTCATGATTTATCTTCCTTGACCTCCAACTCCCAATGTCCTTTCTTCTACCACAGTGCTCTCAGGAACCCATATTTGTTAACAGATTTCCCTAAATCCTCAAGCTCTCACAGAACAATCCATTCATTTCTTTCCCTAATGGCCAGGTGTCCATATTGTCCATGCATACACTTCAGGGAGTCTGCATACTTGATGGGAAATAAGTTACTTCTTTATTTTTATAGCACTTACAGTTATTGCTAATCTCATGATATTTATATTCATTACTACTTTGAAAGTATGTAGTTACTAGACCTGCTGGTGGGTTTTTACTTAAAGCAGCACATAAATTACTGTATGACAAATGCTTTAAGAATACTTTAAGTATTTCAATCTAATTGGTTTCCTTTATAATCCTATGTATTTTATGCCATATATTAAAAAACCAGAGGCCCGATGCATGAAATTTGTGCAAGAGTAGGCCTTCCTTCCCCTGGCTGCCGGCTTCCCTCCGGCACCAGGAACCTGGGCTTCCCTCACAGCTCTGGCTTCATCTGGACAGTTGTCTGGAAGGACGTCCGGTCTAATTAGCACATTACGCTTTTATTATTATAGATACTATTCTGGAAAATGTCCACAGGCTTTACCCTGTACCCATGGCACAAAGCCCTGAAACCTTACCCTTATTTTCCCGTAAGGGTAGTGCTCTCCCCCTGCAGCACTTTTTGAGTAAAAGTTGCTTGTTTTCTAAAGCCTGACATTGATAAGGATGGTGAATAGAGGGAGGCCAGCAACGTTTTCCTAATTCCTTGCTGCTGCCTTCTAATGTTCCTCCTACATGCCAGCTCCTGGGTCATTTCAGTATTTATGAGGAGAATCACTCTCACATGCAGTCAGAAGGCCCTGTCCTCAACTCCAGTAAATCTTTATCTCCTTACCAATAATGTAGCCAAACAACCACACCATCTTGGGGAACCTGAGGCTGTCACATGCCCCAACCACAACTGTCTTCTCTTCTAGTTCTCACTCCCTAAACCTGTGTTCCTCATCCATATTAACAATGACAGTCCTTCCTGTTTCTTCCCTCTAAGCATCTGAACCATTAGGTTTAAAAAAACACCAAAAAACAAAACACCAACAAATAAATCCCAGGTTTCTACTTTGTTCCCAATCCCACTACAACTCTTTCCACATCAAGGTTAATCCTTCTTATTATCTGAATTCCAGATTCCTGATCTTCTTATACAATAGTCCCCTCATATCCACAAGTGATACGTACCAAGACCCCCAGTGGATGACTGATAGTACCAAACCCTATACATACTATGTTTTTCTCTACACATACATATCTATGATAAAGTTTAATTTATAAATTAGGCACAGTAGGGGATTAGCAACAATAACTAATAAAAATATACTATAATAAAAGTTATGTAAATGTGACATTGTTAAATAAAGGTTTCTTGAACACAAGCACTGTGATACCAGACAGTCTATGCTGAGATGGCTACTAAGTGACTAACAGGTGGACAGTGTATACAACGTGGACAGGTCCCAGGAAGGACAGTGCAAGATTTCATAATGCTACTCGGTGCAAAACTGTAAGTTATGAACTAGTTCTAGAATTTTCCATTTAACATTTCAGACTACAGTTGACTTTGGGTAACTGAAACCAGGGAAAGCAAAACCACACAGATAAGGGGACTACTGTATACACATATGTAATGTGTATTTTTTTTAGTTATTTCATAATCCCTTAAGTCACCTTCTTTGTTCTTCATAGGCTCTTTATTTATAATTTAATATATTTTTATTGATTTCAGAGAGGAAAAGGAGAGGGAGAGAGAGAGAGAGAAACAGCAATGCCGAGAGAATCATTGATTGCCTGCCTCCTGCATGTCCCCCACTGGGGATTGAGCTCTCAACCCGGGTATGTGCGCTGACCGGGAATCGAGCTGTGACCACATAGTCGACACTCAACCACTGAGCCACAGTGACCAGGCTCCATAGGCTCTTTTTTTTTTTTTTTTTTTTTTTAAATATATTTTATTGATTTTTTACAGAGAGGAAGGGAGAGAGATAGAGAGTCAGAAACATTGATGAGAGAGAAACATCGATCAGCTGCCTCCTGTACATCCCCCACCGGGGATGTGCCCGCAACCCAGGTACATGCCCTTAACCGGAATCGAACCTGGGACCCTTTAGTCCGCAGGCCGACGCTCTATCCACTGAGCCAAACCGGCTTCGGCCTCCATAGGCTCTTTAAATTAATCATCAAGGGCTTATTCAAGGCTCTGCCCTCAGCTTGTTCCTCTCTGTTCCCCATGAATAATCTTATCTCCCCCATTGCTTCTATCATTTCTCTTTTGGCAAAACCTAAACATGTCAGTCTCAAGTCAAATCTCTCTCCTTCCAAATCTATGTGCCTCTGCATCCAATTACTAGGCACATCCACTTGGAATATTTGAACATACCCAACACAAAATTCATGAACTGCCCATACCTGCATCTCAAACTGCTCCCAAACCAAGCTCCTCTCCTCCTCTTTGTCACTCTTCACAAGCGGGTGGACGTGCTTCCTAACTAGTTCTCGGGTTTTGTTTGACTTTTGCCTCCAGGTCATATGATTGCTCATCTGAATTACAGTAAAAGGCAACTAACTGCTTTTCATCTCTAGGTTTGCCCCTGGTAAGTTAATTCTCTTCACTGGAAAAACGACCTTTCTAAAAAAAACGAATCCTTCATTGGCTTTATGGGGCGGCTGTACAATGGTAGAAAGACACAAATTTTGAGAGTCCAACCAACTTGAGTTTGAACCCAGGCTCTAATCTTGTGGAAATTACTTCTTCCAACCTCCTCAACTGAAAAATGGCTGATACAATTCTGAAAAGTCCAAGAATCAATAAGTCAAGCACATGCATAGTAGATACTATGAAACACAACAGTCCCTTAATAACTAACTGGTAGCCACCATTATTCCCTTAGGATAAAATTCAGATTTTTTTAATATGATAGACAAGGTCTTCATGACCTTGCTCTGCCTGCTCTCCTGCCTCTTTGTCAGTTTACCACTCACACTCTCCACTTCTGTTGCCTTGACCCTGCAGGTTTTCTCAAGACTGGTCTGTTTACAAGTAGCAACCTCCTCTGTTGGGGATGATGCCTTTAGTCCTGTCCTTTTTCACAGAGCTCACTCCTCAACTTAAGTGTCAACTCCATGAATTCTTCCTCCAACCCCCATCTCCCTCCTCAGATTGGATGAGGCAGCTCTACTCTGTACTCCCACAGTAACTTGTGCTCACTTCCATTACATTCTACTGAAATGGTCTCCTTATCTGCCTATCTCTTGTACGAGGCTGGGCTCTCTAGGGCAGGGCTCAATTCATATATCTATGTTAATTCCTGGTACACAGTAGGTACTCCATAAATGTTACTAACATAAAACATAACTTGAACGGCTACACAAAATGAAAGATTAAAATAAAAACAAAACACCCACAGAGTTCCTTTTAATTGGCTTTTGTGTTCAAAGATTTCCCCCCTTCCCCCTCCAGAAGCCATTTTTTACCAATATGAATGCTCAAGTAACTGTTAAATGACTTCGCTTTAAGGACCCAGGTACTGGCAATACCAGCAATAGATATAACAAATCCTTTCAATATGAATATAACTTGTATTTATTTTAGTCAGTTTTCCATGCTCTTTATTAAACAAATCAGTGTAATGTAACAGATTGATACTAAATCAGTATAACTAAAGCAACAGCACTAACCAATAAATTTAGCCTCTAAATTATGAAACTTAAGACAATTAAGCCTCAATTGCCCATCAATAAGCAGGTGATAAATTGGCATTGCAAGCTTTTAAAAGGTGTAGCAATAGATAAGTAGTATGTTTTTACTCACCAGCTTCACGTAATCGGTTCCCTTCTGCTTTTGTCCGGTTAGTTCTTTCACTTCCAGCAAGATCCACCAAGGACAACTGGCTTATAGTGATTTGTTCTTTTTCCTGAAGAGAAGATCATAATGTCAATAACGTAACATGAGCTATAAGTGGTTTACAATGTTCTTTAAACATATTTAATTAACAAATTATTATGAATATAATATTTGCACAATACAAAATGTACTGGTAGGGGCAAAGGACACAACTTTTGGGGGAAAAGTTTGCTAAAAGCATATGCTAAATATACTCATGACATTAATGATTACTTGCCCATTGTCTGGTCTTCTACATTATGCTGTAAGCTCCATGAAGGGACTCTGCCTTGTAATGACTATCTCCAGAACCTTACACAGTGCCTAGCTCTCAGCAGGAGCTCAATAAATATAAGCTAAATAAGTGAGGCTAGAATAGGGCTAGCCTAAAATTTTTTATAATCAGATATTTTAATAACATTGTGATCTAATAATTTCATAATATGCTAATAATTTTTGTAAGAAATGAAAGTCAAGAGGTACATAACTGACATTGTAATGTTAGATGTGATTTAAAGGAAATCAAGTGTATATGGAAGCTTGATTTATAACCATTTTCTAGCTAACATTTATCAAGTGTTGACTATAAGCCAAACACAGGATTAAGAACTTTATATGAGGAGTTTATTACAATAAGGTCAAATAGGCAGGGCATTAAAAGGAAATCAAAATTCAAATCCTGGCTTTTTCACGAAGATGGCGCCGAAAGCTAAGAAGGAAGCCCCTGCCCCTCCCAAAGCCGAAGTCAAAGCAAAGGGTTTGAAGGCAAAGAAAGCAGTGTTGAAAGGCGTCCACAGCCACACAAAAAAGAAGATCCGCATGTCACCCACCTTCTGACGGCCGAAGACACTAAGGCTCTGGAGGCAGCTTAAATACCCCTGGAAGAGCGCACCCAGGAGAAACAAGCTTGACCACTAAGCCATCATCAAATCCCCCCTGACTACCGAGTCAGCCATGAAGATGATAGAAGACAATAATACACTGGTGTTCATTGTGGATGTCAAGGCCAACAAGCACTAGATCCAACCGGCTGTGAAGAAGCTCTATGGCATTGACGTGGCCAAGGTCAACACCCTCATCAGGCCTGATGGCAAGAAGGCTTATGTTCGACTGGCTCCTGACTATGATGCTTTGGATGTTGCCAAAAAAATTGGAATAATCTAAACTGAGTCCAGCTGCCTAATTCTAAATATAAAAATTTTACACTGTAAAAAAAAAAAAAAAATTCGAATCCTTCAGTACCATGCTGTACCATTTCTTCCTGCCATCTGGAAACTTTCGTGATACCACAATTTCATAATGTATTTTGAATAGAATTACACTTTACTAGCTTAAAGTTATTAAATAATTTATATTTGGGCTCAAGTGTGGTTACTAATTGATGTAAGCCTTGTAGTGCGACAGTCCCTGCAATAAAACAGTGACCAATAGGTCAGCCAAGAGAAGAACCATTTAGAATTGGACATCTCCTGAACTAATCCTACCCTGGAAAGTTAATTGCTGACAGTTTAAAACCATTAACTGAATTTCCACATACAAAATGAGTCTTCAAAGGTAAAACAATGGATCACAAATTCTTATTTATAAATATTTGTAAACCTTTTTCATAGCAAAAATCCAGGTTAGTTTTCCAAAACTGCACATCTAACAGAATAATTAAAACCAACACCTACATATATTATTAATCCTAGAGGAGCGATTTTCAACTTTTTTCATTTCATGGCACACATAAACTAGTTACTAAAATTCTGTGGCACACCACAAAATATATTTTTTGCCTATCTGACCAAAAAAAGTATAATTTTGATTCATTCACACTAGATGGCTATTGTGTTGGCTGTCATTTTTTTCAATTTGACAATCAGGGAAAATAGATCAGTGCGCCTACTAAATGGTCAGGTGTTACTTGTTTTAAAAATTCTTGCGGGGAGAACCAACCAAAATAAAATAATTGAAGGCCATCTTGATGGTCTTGACACTAATTTTTATGACACAAATTTATAAACTGATTTTCTATTTTAAAAATTAAAGACCTAGATTTTAAATGTGTATTTAACTTGATGTTTTTAATCAGCATAAAGATCATTTAATAGTCATTAAAAACAGTTGCCAGAGATAATCTGCATGGAGGAAAAAAACTTGCAAATGGCTAATAAGTTGGAAGCATTATTTTTAATATGTAAGATAATCAGAATACTCACAATAAAATATACAACTTTTTTTAAAAAATTTGATTTTTAGAGAGAAACAGAGGAAGGGGAGGGGAGGAGGGAAGGAAGGAAAGGAGAGAGAGAAACATCATTTTGCTGTTCCATCCATTATGTATTCTCTGGTTGATTCTTGCATGTGCCCTGACCGGGATCAAACCCACAACCTTGGTGTATAGCAGCGGTGGGGAACATCTGCCCCATGGGCCATATAAGACCTGCAAAATCATTTGTCTGGCCCTGCCAAGGCATTAGGGATGAGTTAATTATGTGTTTGACCAAATATAGCAGGCTAATTTTTAAGCTGATAATTTTGTGTGGCCGAAGAATGTTATAAATATCCAAAAGGCCCTTGACAGAAAAAAGGTTCCCCACCTCTGGTGTATAGAGATGATGCTCTAACCAACTGGGCTACCTGGCATGGGCTCAACTTTTTTAAGTATAAGAAACCACCTTGAGTAGCATCTAGATTTGTAATGAAGAATGATACAGTTTGGATTAAGTATCTTGGGCTGGATTACACAGTGCTTTGTACTGGATCTGCCGAAACATCTGTCCAGCTTGGTATCGTGTGAAAGTCTGTTACTTTTTGGGCAGACATATATAAAAACTCAGATGGTCTCCTTAAAAATCAGATGGTCTCTTCTGCACTGAAAGCATTTTTATGTTTTCTAGTTAAAAATTAATATTTTCTTATAGACCTTGTGCAATAAAGCAGAAGCAAGATGTGTGATTTCTGCAAATGCTTTAACAGCTGGTAAAATTTAAAAAATTAATATATGTATTGGTAAAAATAAGTTTTAAATTACATTTTAATAAACTAAAAAAAAATTTGTGGCACACCGGTTAAAATCTGTGTTCTAGCAGTGATGGCGAACCTTTTGAGCTCGGCGTGTCAGCATTTTGAAAAACCCTAACTTAACTCTGCTGCCGTGTCACATATGGAAATTTTTTGGTATTTGCAACCATAGTAAAACAAAGATTTATATTTTTGATATTTATTTTATATATTTAAATGCCATTTAACAAAGAAAAATCAACCAAAAAAATGAGTTCGCGTGTCACCTCTGACATGCGTGTCATAGGTTTGCCATCACTGTGAGCAATCTTCATTGCAACAAAACCTCCGATTTAATTCTAATTCCAAAAATTAAGTATTCAGTTTAAAAATTTGATACACTACAACTTACCTGTAAGACATTGTCTCCATCTGCATCCAGTGGAGCTTGAACTAATTTAATATTGAATACACTATGGGAACGGCTGGACTCACGATTCAAATGTGTGTTAGCAATACGTCTCTTTTTCTGGCCTATAATGACAGGAAAAAAAATAATTGCCCAAATCTGAACTCAGCCATTGCATTATATATGCTTTCTTTCGTCTTCCTTTTTAAATTGATTTTCAGAGAGAGAGCAAGGAAGAGGGAAAGAAAACAGTGATCGGCTGCCTCCTGCATGCCCCTACTGGGGATCGAGCCCATAATCGTGTGCCCTGACCAGGAATCGAACTGGCAACCTTTTGGTGCAGAGGAATGATATTCAACCAACTGAGCCACACTGGCTAGGGCTATACACACTTTCTACTAAACCAAAAAGTACTGCTGGTCAAATATATTTATCATTTTATAGTTTTCTAATTTTAATTCTAACCTTTCCAGAAAACTTCAAAAGCCTCTTCAGTAGATTTTACTTCTACTTCTGTACATCCTGCAACATACATATTATGATTCTTGTCTTCACGAAGCAATTTAGATTGTAGAGGTCTATGGGAAAGAAAAAATATACAAGTTTGCTAAATTGTGCGTTATAGAGTTATTTAAGTCGAGTTATCTAAAATGCCAGGCAACATAACATCCATTGTTATAATGGGAATAAACCTAAGCAAGAACCCAGAAAAATATTAAACAGTTAACTTTAAGGATATACAGTCAAGATTAGTTATAAAAACTTATTTTGTTTTAAAAGTTTTGCTCTAATTTGTTCTAACAAAGTACACGATATAACACTAAACAATTAGAGATCATAGTAGTATTATAGCAACATTACATGCACAAGTTAAGCATCAAAACTTAGTATTTCCCTAAATTTGAAAGATCAATAGATAGAGCTGATTCTGACCTCAGGGTCAGAAAAAAAAAAAAAAATTCAGAGAGAGTTTGGTATATACCAGGAGTGGCAATCCTTCCAAAGTGGCTGGTCAAGTTTTAGTCTGTATGATAAGATGGGAAGGGGCACTGCTTGTTTGGCCTCAGTCTTGTGAGTGGTGGAGATAAAAACATTTATCAGCCACCATCACCCACTAAATGGCTGATATTTTTCAGGAAGCAAGGAGGGGCTCATTGGTAGCAGACAGCAAAGTGCCAATGAAAAACCACCTACGTACAAACACTCCACAGATGCCAAACACTAGTATATCTGCACCCTTCTCCTTATAAAAAGAAGAAGAAAAAAGTCAACACAATCACATACACAAAGTCTGTGTTCCTCATGGGTGTGCCGCAACTGTTCCACCTACCAAAGGAATAAGGTATAAGTTACTGTTTCTACAGCAGCCATCTCATAGTAACACGTTCAGTCCACAGTATGTGAGTCACAATGAGTTGTATCTTAAAAATCCTCCAATGCAATATTTCTACATTGTATTAAAAACACACACACACACTAAACATTAATCAGTTAAAGAAAGCAGGTAATATACCACCTAAACAAATTAAAACTGAACTCAGTGCCAAATAAGCACCTTGTGAGTTTATTCGAGTTACAAGAAATATTACAAGGAAGGCACACAAGTCATATTTGTCAGTCCTTTTGTGTAATGAAATAAAATCAAGATAAGAGGCTCCTATGAAAATAACCTTATTTAGGACAAACAAAAACTTGGCACATGTGCAGACATGAAACTGACTGTTAGCAGTGAATAACATCACAAAAGTTTAGGGAAATGGGTATGCAGAACTGACACTTTGTGTTTTTTTTTTTTTAATTAATATATTTTTATTGATTTTAGAGAAAAAAGGAGAGGGAGAGATAGAAACATCAGCTGTCGATGTTTCTCTCTCATAGATGTTTCTAACTCTCTATCTCTCTCCCTTCCTCTCTGTAAAAAATCAATAAAATATATTTTAAAAAAATATGAATCATCAAGCACCAGTTCCATGATACACAGTTATATTTCATTTTCAAAACAAAAATAAGCATTACTCCTATTTAAGGCTCACTGAGGTGAGTGACTGCCCCAAGATTAAGCAGCTAAGCAGAGACTATCTTCACTACTTACTTAGGTTTTATGGGATCAAACGGCACCTCTTCCAGTAGATCATATATGTAATTATTATATATTTCAATATAAGAGACAAATACGCCATAGACACTATCCTCATCAACTTCTTCTGCTTTGCAAAATTCTTGAACGTTTATCATATCTGCGAACTCTGGATCTATTTGTCTTCTGAAAAAGGGGAAAAAGCCAGAAAGTCCAATTTTCCACAGTGTGAATTAATATCAAACATGAATGCTCCCAAGAGGAAGCTAAAAGATATAGCACAAATGTCCTGCCTTACAAGCAGAAATGCACTAAGAACTTTATTCACTCACCATCAGCCAACAATACTCCCATGTCCTCCCAGGTAAACAGCACAGGCTTTTACACCCTCTCCCACTCAGAGTGGCACCTTCTCTAAGCAGTGATTCAAGGACAGTGTGTTCATAAACAAAGAGAACATCTGAGCCAATAAAGTTACTTAAGAACATTTCTCATCTTTGATCTCACTAATGTCAACTTGTCAGACAATCTCTATTTCATGTGCATCATTCCCTATGCCTGAGGAAACCATCAGGCAGCGTGCCCTTCAGGCCAGCATTGTAGACAAATGCAATTACTTACTTGCTAGAAGGGGTCTTTGGGTTGGGTATGGCCTCTCTTTTCTGCCGTTCTAATAAGGCATCAACTTCACACTGTATATCCATGCTATTCCTATCATTAGATTTAAAAACCTGAAGTGGGGGCAAAAGTCAGATCATGATTTTGAGAACTTGACTTACATTGTAAGAAACATATTTGAGAACTGAGAAATTTATTTAAACATATTTAAGGTTTCAAAATGTATCCAATTAGTTCTCCCATAATGCTACTGTATCCACAGGTATCTTGGTCCCTGTGTCAAGTGAAACTGTTACAACATAAAGGAATTGTACTTACATATCTTTTAGCCTGAAAGGACCCTACACTGTTAAAGATCATGTCCAGACAACGAGGAAGTAGCCCTCCTTCCCCTGGGGAACCAGTCATGGTGTGAGTCTTCCCACTTCCCGTCACACCATATGTGAAAAGGAGACCTGCAACAGAGCATGTCACACTGGGTTATATCACAAAAGTCCTCCACTTGTAGTACTCATTGTATTAAAAAACACTTAAAATTAACCAGCTCAGCGCCCGACCAGTGTGGCTCAGTGCTTGAGTGTCAACCCATGAACCAAGAGGTTACTGGTTAGATTCCCGATCAGGGCCATGCCCGATCCTCAATAGGGGTCGTGCATGAGACAGCCAATCAGTGATGTTTCTCTCTCATTGATGTTTCTATCTTTCTATCCCTCCCCCTTCCTCTCTAAAAAAAGTAAAAATAAATAAATAAGAATAACCAGCTCAAAAAAGCAGGTTTAACACCACCTACCGAATCTGAATCCAAGGCCAAACATAAATCAAATATACAAATATCAAAAAAAGTTTTATCAGAGGGGGAGAAAAAGGAAAATCCAACAAAACTCCAAGAATCATACCATTTTTGCCATGAATGAGGTCATCTACCAAGGGATTAGCCACAACATCAAAGAGCTCCTTCTGGGTGGTATGAATGCCAAATACTTGTTTAAATGAATACTGAGTCTGTGGAGAAGGAAAAAAATAAAAGTACATAAATGAATTCCACTATATCTAGGTTAGATATACATATTTAAACCCATTCAGATGTTTCTTTATGAACATCTAAGATCTGGATGCACAAAGAAAAAGTACAAATGGTTTTTAAACCTGGAACCCTGAAAAGAAATCCTGCCCTGGCTGGTGAGGCTCTTTTGATTAGGCATCATCCCATGCATCGAAAGGTTACCAGTTCAATTCCCGGTCAGGGCACATGCCTGGGTTTTGGGCTAGATCCCTGGTAGAAGGCACACAGGAAGCAGCCAATCAATGTTTCTCTCTCTCTTTCTCTCCCTTCCTCTCTTTCTAAAAATCAACAATTTTTTTAGAAAAAGTCATGACCTACCTAAGTATACCAATTATAAATGTTAAATATTTACATTTATAACTACTGAAGAGAATGTAGAAAAATCTTAAACCCACTAATGCTTCACAGACTAAGGCTGACTTTGTTTTAATTAAATGACCAAGAAGATCAAAAGGTATTAAAATGATTCAGTCACTATACAAAAATCCTCACATATTTATTACCTCATTTTACCACTTTCTATTTTCTCTCATAAAGGTGTAATTTTAAATGGCATAACAGCATAGAGCTAAGTATTTTGATGTACTTTTTTTTTAAAAAAAGCCAGCAGTGAACTGTAAATATAAACTGTATATAAAAACCCATGAGTTTTTATATAAAATAAATTTTAAATTAATTGTGATCTTTGATTCAATTATCAAATCTCTTTCAAAAATTAATTATTATAAAGTATAACCATATTGCCAAAAATATTACCAAACTTATACTTGGAAAATTAGATTGGATCCCCAAAGTGGCTGGAGGTGACCTCTGAAAATAGTTTGCTTTTCACTTGACCCAGAAAACCCCACAAAATCACACAAATCAAGAGGCTCAAATCTTCATGTTCACTTTAAGAATACCTGTGAAACTGTGCAAGCCATTAAGGGTATGCATATTCGAAAAGACACCAAGTATCTGAAGGATGTCACTTTACAGAAGTAGTGTGCCATTCTGTCGTTACAATGGTGGTGTTGGTAGGTGTGCCCAGGAGAAACAGTGGGACTAGATACAGGGTTGGTGGCCCAAAGAGTGCTGAATTTTTGCTGCACATCTTAAAAATGCAGAGAGCAATGCTGAACTTAAGAATTTAGATTTAGATTCTCTGGTCAATGAGCACATCTAGGTGAACAAAGCTCCCAAGATGCGGTGCAGAACTTAAGAGCTCATGGGCGGATTAACCCACATGAGCTCTCCCTGCCACATTGAGATGATCCTGAATGAAAAAGAGGAGATTGTTCCTAAACCAGAGGAGAAGGTTGCACAGAAGAAAAAGATATCCCAATTCTCTGGAGAGAAAAGATGGTGACCAGCAAGAAGGTGGGGAGGGAGAGTGTGTGAGAGAGTGAGGGAGCGATAGAGGAGTGTGTGGACGTGTGGTGTGTATGTGAGCGAGCTAGGGACAGTTAGATGCTGCAGGTCTTCCAAGGGGCTGCCAAACTGGGCAGTCTTAGATGGTGAAACCCCGCTACCACCATGGACACTCCGGGGGTGGCCAGCGCAGGCACAGAGACCAAACCATCTTGAGAAACAGAACTGCTTGGGACTAGAATCCTAGATTCTGGTCTCAGATGCAAACCGGGATGGTACAGCCACTAGGAACAAAGACCTGCGACCACAGCTGCAGACCCACAGACACCAAGAATCCAGACATCCTGGCTGCAGATTTCTGTGAGCCCATCCCCCTCCCTGCAGGTTTGCTGTAGTACCATAGGAACTGCTAGACCGCCCCACGCAAGCAAGCCTTCTGCCCACACAGGGCAGCTCTGCTACCTGAATTTGAGCCTGGGCGCGCAGACACTGGGAATCTGCTTCACGCAGCACGCAATCATGTGACCAGAACCCACGCCCACAAAGGGTGGCAGTGCCACCTGACTTTGATTCTGGGCAAGCGCACAAGGAAGTCTGTCTCCCACAGCGCAAGAGTGGACCTCCTGCTAACACAGGGTGGCTGTGCAACCCGGTCCCCCAAGCAGACCAGGGACCCCGATTCTCTGCGTGAGAGGAAGCACTGAGCACTAGTGACTTGACTCTGTTTCTCATCGCACACGCCTGGGATCCCTGATTCCCAGTGCATGCACACTAAGAGCCAGTGACTCCAATTCTTGGCGCATGCGCATACAGAGACCGATTCTCGGCGCGAGGCCGCACCAAGCAACAGAGACTCTGATACTTGATTCTCGACACGGGCACAGGGGGACTCTGACTCTTGGCATGCGTTAGGGGACTCTGATTTTAGGCACATGCCAGTGGGGTCTCTTTTTTCAGCGTGGCGCAGGCGGGGGCCCTGATTCTAGGTGCACGCACGAGGCCGCACTGAGCACTGGTGACTCTGATCCTGGGCGAGCATGGCTCCCACCAACCCATGGGAGTCATACGTCTTGGTGTCGGAGCTCTTCAATGACACCCAAGTGGCATGAAGCTCCCACTGCACATGGTCCAGGCCTCCGCAACTCAGCATTTGAACCTTCTGGTGATAGTTAGAATGGGGAGACAACAAAACAATCCCCAGAGGAAAGAAAAAGAGGCATTGCCAAGAAAAGAAATAAGTGAAACAGAGGCATGCAACATGACAGAAAAAGAATTCAGCATAATGGTCGTAGAGTTCATACACCGGATGGACGAGAAAAATCAACAACCTATGCAAAAATCAGGAAGAAATCAAAGGTGATATAGCTATAATCAAAAACATCATGGAAGGTTTCAACAGTAGACTAGAAGAAGCAGAGGACCAAATTAGTGAGTTAGAATACTCTATCCAGCAAGACTATCAATCAAAATTGAAGGGGAAAGCAGGAGCTTCGAAGACAAAAAAAAAAAGGCTAAGGGAGTTTATCACTACCAAACCAGCAATGCAAGAAATGCTAAAGGGAATGCATTTCTGTAAAAAGAAGAAATAGAAAGGAACAAAGGCATAAAGTACAGAAATGGCTACAAACAAGTACCTATCCTATCTAATAAAAGAGAAACATGGTAATTGGCGTACAACCGCTACCCTTCCCATTGGCTAATCAGGGCGATATGCAAATTAACTGTCAGCCAAGATGGCGGCCGGCAGCCAGGCAGCTTGAAACTAACATAAGGCTTGCTTGCTTCAGTGACGGAGGAAACCAACGCTCCCCGCCTGCCTTGAAAGCCTCTGAGCCTGCAGTTTGAAACATTTTAACAAATATAGAAGCTAAAAAAACCCCCCAAAACCAGCTTTCAGCAAGCTGGGATCTCAGAGCTGTAGTTATACATTGTTTCGAACCGAAACAAACCAGATACCTACTTTCAGCAGCGGAGGCCTAAGAGCTGGAGCCTCAGAGCTAAAGCTGGCCCAGAATTAAAAAGAAAAAAAGAAAAAAAGGAGCGGTTGGGAGCTTCTGTCACCCGCCAGCCTGAAAACAGCCCTCAGCCCCTCACCCAGGCTGGCCAGGCACCCCAGTGGGGACCCCCACCCTGAAGGGTGTGTGACCAGCTGCAAACAGCCATCATCCCCTCACCCAGGCTGAACAAGCACCCCAGTGGGGACCCCCACCCTGAATGGTGTGTGACCAGCTGCAAACAGCCATCATCCCCTCACCCAGGCTGGCCAGGCACCCCAGTGGGAACCCCCACCCTGATCCAGGACACCCTTCAGGACAAACCAGCCAGCCCCACCCATGCACCAGGCCTCTACCCTATATAGGAAAAGGGTAATATGCCTCCCAGCACCGGGATCAGTGGAGGCGAGAGGCCTCCGGCACCGGGATCAGCGTGACAGGGGGCAGCGCCCAAACCCCCTGATCGCCCTGCAGCTCTGTGTGTGACAGGGGGCGGGGCCACAACCTCCCTATCCGCCCTGCTCTGTTTGTGACAGGGGAAGGCGCCCCAACCTCCTGATCAGCCCTGCTCTGTGCCTGATACGGGGGAGCTCCCCAACCTCTGATCGCCCTGCGGCTCTGTGTGTGATAGGGTGCGGCGCCTCAACCCCCTGATCGGCCCTGCTCTGTGTGTGACAGGGTGCGGCGCCGCAACCTCCCCATCAACCCTGCCTTGAGTGTGACAGGGGGCGGTGCCCCAAGCCCCTAATCGGCCCTACCCTGAGCGTGACTGGGGGTGGCATCGCAACCTCCCGATCCGCCCTGCTCTGTGCATGACAGGGGGCGGCGCCCCAACACCCCAATCGGCCCTGCTCTGAGCCCGACCAGGGGCTGCACCTAGGGACTGGGCCTGCCCTCTGCCACCCGGGAGCAGGCCTAAGCCAGCAGGTCATTATCTCCCGAGGGGTCCCAGACTGCGAGAGGGCACAGGCCGGGCTGAGGGACCCCCCTCCCCCCTGAGTGCACAAATTTTTGTGCACCGGGCCTCTAGTCAATAATAACATTAAACATAAATGGATTAAATGCTCCAATCAAAAGAAATCGAGTGACTGAATGGATAAGAAAACATGACCCATATACATGCTGTCTATAGGAGACCCACCTCAGAATAAGGGACTCACACAGACTGAAAGTGAAGGGACAGAAAAATATCTATCAGGCAAATGGAAATGAAAAAAAAGCTGGGGTAGCAATACTTATATCTTACAAAATAGACCTCAAAGTGAAGACCATAACAAGAGACAAGAAAGGCCACTTCATAATTCTAAAGGGATCGATACAACAAGAGGATATAACTCTGGTAAACATTTATGCATCTGATGCAGGAGCACCCAAATACATAAAGAAACTTCTGGAAGATATCAGGGGAGAGATTGACAGCAACACAATCATAGTAGGAGACTTTAATACCCCATTAACATCACTGGATAAATCCTCTAGACCAGTGGTTCTCAACCTTCCTAATGCTGTGACCCTTTAATACAGTTCCTCATGTTGTAGTGACCCCCAATTTCATTGTTACAAATTGAACATACTTAAAGCATAGTGATTAACCA